CATAACTAGAAATCTATCTGATCGGATCCATACAGAAATGCATAACTAGAAATGGATCTGATGAGATCTATACAGAAATGCATAAGCAGAAATGTATCTGATGAGATCTATACAGAAATGCATAACTAGAAATGTATCTGATCAGATCCATACATAAATGCGTAACTAGAAATGTATCTGATCAGATCTATACATAAATGCATAACTAGAAATGTATCTGATCAGATCCATACAGAAATGCGTTATTAGAAATGTATCTGATCAGATCCATATAGAAATGCATAACTAGAAATGTATCTGATCAGATCCATGCAGAAATGCATAACTAGAAATGTATCTGATCAGAACCATATAGAAATGTATAACTAGAAATGTATCTGATGAGATCCATACAGAAATGCATAACTAGCAATGTATCTGATCAGATCCATATAGAAATGTATAACTAGAAATGTATCCGATCAGATCCATACAGAAATGCATAACTAGAAATGTATCTGATCAGATCCATATAGAAATGTATAACTAGAAATTTATCTGATGAGATCCATACAGAAATGCATAAGCAGAAATGTATCTGATGAGATCTATACAGAAATGCATAACTAGAAATGTATCTGATCAAATCCATACATAAATGCATAACTAGAAATGTATCCGATCAGATCCATATAGAAATGTATAACTAGAAATGTATCTGATGAGATCCATACAGAAATGCATAACTAGCAATGTATCTGATCAGATCCATATAGAAATGCATAACTAGCAATGTATCTGATCAGATCCATATAGAAATGTATAACTAGAAATGTATCTGATCAGATCCATACAGAAATGCATAACTAGCAATGTATCTGATCAGATCCATATAGAAATGCATAACTAGCAATGTATCTGATCAGATCCATATAGAAATGTATAACTAGAAATGTATCTGATCAGATCCATACAGAAATGCAGAACTAGAAATGTATCTGATCGGTCCATACAAAAATGCATAACTAGAAATGTGCGTAACTAGCACAGTGCCTTCCTTCGTACTCAATCAAAACCATATCATTCCCGGATTCTGTACGGTGCTTGTAATATTGTTAGCAACGTGATGATTTATTTTGCCAATTTACAACTCTAAATAAACACGAGTCGCAGAAATAAAAATCTTGAAAATAAGTTACTCTGGCACTAATGGAAATAAACTTCTCTCCAATCTGTAAGATAACTATGTAAGAAGAAAATCATTTTTCAGAACACTGAATTTGAATCTGTTGCCATGGTGAATTTTTCAATTTGATGATACCATGGCGATTATGAATTTGTCTGAATCGTTTCACCAGAGCTGAATGATAACGAGAAACCGCCAGAAACAAAAATGATATATTTATAAGTCTCCACTTCTTCGTCAAGATTCGCCAAGATGCGAAATTCAAATGATTCGAACACAATCAGAAAAGCGATAAATCTTTATACATCATGTCAAAAAGAGTTATATTTTCTAGTTCTATTTAAAATCGTTTGGATTAATATCCGTTAAGGCTAAGGGGTCGTCTCCCCGTCGGAAATATCGATTCAAAAATAAAAGAACGGAGCTTACTTTTTATCTTTTTACTTTATATAAGTCTATTTATAGTTTAATAAATACATATTCAAAACATTCTGTCAATGTGATGATTACAAAAATAGTATCGCGGGGAGAGCTGAAAATTTAAACTGGGCTCCCTTGCCTCAGAAAAATATTTTTGACTGAGATTAATAATGATTTCTCCAATTAGCTAAATTTTCGAACGTTTACAATGCATAAACCAGTTTTTTGAGTTCCTTCTATTTGGAGCTTATTCACGATCCCTTTGATTTCTGGTTAATGCCGAGGGAGAGCTATGCGATCTGGCATCATTCCGGGATACTGGTATAATTGTATCACCTCTGACTCAAGGAATGTTAAATCTGCCATTCCAGGGTATCAACCGATCATAAGGTGTTACCTGATTGGCAATCAGAGAGTAAATTACATGTAAGTTAGTTTTCCTGAAATCATGTTATGAAAATTGTGATTATTGCTTCATCATTTCATAGCTCGAGTCGTGCATTTATCATAAAATAATGCATTTAAGGCTACTCCCACGAAAACTGACATGCTTCCAGATTTGAGTAATTCCCAAACCCTAGCAGGGTATGGAGACCATCTTTGATAAAAAAAAATATTAAATTTAGAAGCACTATAGGTACGAAGCTTTGGGTGAAGAGAAAAATAATTAAACTGATACGGTATGATTTCGGGAAATATAGGTCGCAAGACTACTGAAGTCCGTATCAGCTGGCATTGGATCATAGCCATTTGCACGATGCTTTAATAAATCAGCGTCTGGGTCAAAATGGGAGATTTACCTTATCGCACCAGATCCCAGGATTGTATTTAACATATTCTGATCATTCTGTCTGATGGAGATTTGTCTATAATTACCCTTTAATGGAAAACATTTGCTATTTGTGAAGCGAATTTTGCCAGATGTTTCTACTAGTGAACCATTCTATTTACGAGTTACGTCCAGATAGAAAATATTTTCTTACCAGAACATTATTGGGAATTTTTATATATCAGTTTCTGTTCTTCACTTATCAAGCATGTGATTGTTCGTTCCTTTAAACATTGTTTAGCTCATTTTCACGAAGAGCAGCGTTATGAGAGCTTGTAGCAAAGCACAAAGGGCAAGATTGAAAAAGAAGGGCAATTAGATTCCTCCATTCATATAATTATATTATCAATATCACTATGCATCTGATGATGAGCAACTTCTCGAAACTCCACATATACGAGTAATACACAAAGTCCAATTAACTATAGAACTTGAAAAAAGTTGCACTATGTAAAAATCAATGGAGCTAAAATATAAACGTGGTACGCATGCAAGCAATCATTCAATCACAATTGCTCTGGATAAAAACTAAAATACTGGAAAATGTAGTCAGTTGGTAATGTACTATTGATTGGAGTATCTAGCTAATAACAAAATAGTTCGTAAATCACAGTTGACAACTTCATCCTAGGATTATGGGATACATTGATCGCTCACTGAACTCTATATTTAGGCATATTATACAAGGCTTAACTGTAGCTAGGGTATTGCCTCATTTCAAAGGGTTACATTTAGTGGAATTACACCTATTTCATGGCTGAAGGCGTTTTCAAGGCGTTTTGGGTAACGTAGGCTAGAAAACCGCAATCCTGATTACACCAGAATTTTAAAAGCGCCTTGAAGACAACTTTTCGTGATTACACTTGATTTTTCTAAAGCGCTTTTAGACTGATTTAAGACAAAAATTTGCCATCAACCATCGCATTAGCATCAAAATCTGCTATTTAGATATACACTTTCAACCGTAGCGCCATCTCTGGAGATTCAAAATGATCCGATACTGCAAGATCAGGTCATACGCAATCGCATTTTTTAACGTGCCGTTCATCATGGCCTGGATCTTTTTGTCAGCCCAAATCGAAAGCATACGCTCAGTATTGACGTGGTCCCAATAAATTCTACTTTGTTTCGACATTTTGGTGATTTGATTGAGTTTTGCACAATATTTGAATTTTTTTTTTTTAAAGTTTCCTCCACTCCGAAAATCAATAACATGCTTGATGCTCATGCGCAAATATAGTTTTCGTTCAGTGTAAAATCGAGTTAAAGCGCTTTGAAAACCAATCGGTATTACACCTACACGTTAAACCGCCTTTGGGTGTGAAAGCGGTTTTTAATGACTAGGGGTCTGGGAGGATTACAAAAGCGCTTTTCTAAATCCGCGATCGTGATTACACCTGACTCTAAAGGCGGGTCGAAACCCGATAGGATTTTAAAAAGCGCTTTTACATCGTAGGTGTAATTCCACCTATTGAGTTGAATTTGAATCAGAAACATAATGCAAACGCTTTTGCCTGTGTGATATGTGCGTTCGGTATATCATGAGAAAAAACAAAAGGCAACATTTGAAAAATAAAAACGAAACATATGTGTAATAAACATGTAATGATATTATTTTAAACCAATTACGAGTCATCGATCCTTTTTGTACGTGTTGAAAAAATCTTGACGGAAACGACAAAATAGATGTTATACATATGATGTATGTATGCCTAAATAGTGTACACAAGTTAAGTTTATATTTGCAAAAAAATGTTTTCAAAATAACATTATTGTTTAAAAGTGGTAACTAACGTGCACTGGTGTGCTAAACGTCTAATTAAAATAACTAAATTATGTTCCCGAGAGAATGTGAAATAATGATTCAATTACTGAATAATTGCCCTCTGGAAACGTCTGTATGCATTTACTATGCGAAGGCTAACCACTCGTAGTAGAATAAAATGAACCCTTTCTTCTTAATTAACATTAACGGGGGTCTAATTGAACCTATTGGAATTTATATATGAGACAGGGTAATCAATAGAGAAATAATTAAGTGAAGTTAAGGACCTTGTTGACCTGGTGTAAAAGGATGAGTCAAGATGTGGCGTTTTAGAATTCCCACTAGAATCGTACTTGGCTTGCTGTCAGATAAACATTTAGACTTCAGTTTGATAGGTACTTTTTCATGATTTACATTAATTTTTCTTTGGCAGATACTCCAGTGTTCGTTGCCAGCCTAAATACACATTACACAAACAACTATTACGAATATCAAATTTATATTTGCCCCTGTTTGTCCTGTGAAAATAACCATATTCATAATTTTCGTATGCAGGCTAGAACCCTAGAAATGAACTATTCACCATTCACATGCGCCAGAACTGACATAATATCGGTACACTATTATGTCTCAATATTATAAGCACACGAACAAAATGGCATCAATTAACCCAACAAAAAGAATGACCATGTTTTCCCTACAATAATGGCAATACAGAAATAACGACATTTCATTTTGATTCCCGTCCGTCCATTGGTTAAAGCTCATATTTTATAAGATTATACGCGAAATATATAATTTTATCATTTTCTCCTTTTCAGGTGCCACTACAGACAGAAATTCAAGTATGGCTGCGAAAAAGGTTGATATACAATCCCATATAGAAGACTGGGCGTGGAATAAGTTCCTCAAGGACCCTACTAGAAAGGAACGGAAGCTCTACGACCAACAGCTCGTTGCTATGGAGCTCGACTGGAAACGCGTGAAATTTCATGACAGCCCACCGGTGTACGATCCCGAGGCGTCAGCCCCTGGAGCTAGGACAGGGGTCCCTACCGCAAACGTCCTATTTTGCACAACATTTATGAACAAAACACAAGACGCCCAAACGTATTCGTTCAAAAGCGAACGTACAACCCGTAGCTCATGCACTATCGAGGTCGAGAACGGTTATACAATGGGTATGGAAATGAGTGTAAAACTGGCGACGCCTTGTGAGATTTTTGAAGCAAACGCTGGATTTAATCGAGAAATGACCTTGACCAATTATGAAGGTCAAACAATAGAAGAGGAGTTGACGTGGGGCGTTGATAGCCAAATAAAAGTCCCTGCAAGAACCACAGCAGAGGCCAAACTTATGATTCTCGAAGAAAAATACGAGGGCAAATTCACGGTGACAACAACGATAAAAGGCAGAGTCAGGGCTATATTCACTAACATGAAAGACAATAATAGCTTTATGAAAGTCTACGAAGGTAACGTAGATGACATAATTAAGAAAGCAAGAGACTCTGGGAAGATTAAGGGTGAAGCGGTAACGGTCAGCAAAGATGATAAATGTGTAGTGTGTAGAACGCAAGGACAATGTAAATTCAAATACGGTTTGAAACAAACTGTAGAAGTTGACCAAACTAAACTTTAACTCAACGAAATACTGCTGTTTATTATGTTCTTACCACGTTGCATTTTAGAATTACGAAATGCTTATATTGTAATTGTTGTTTCTTGTTTGATTGGTCAGGCCAAGTGGATGACACGTCACCATGGTAACACTCGTTGCTATGAGCTGAATGTTTTGTTAAGTCACCTGGACAACTCTTTCATAGAACTTTGGCCGTCTTTCTATTGTTGGTCCAAAAGAATAGAAACGCATTGGTTTACACAATCAGGGTCAGTAAGGGCCTTTAAAAAGGGGGACCATAATCCATGGGAGACCATAATTTCTTTCACACCGGTCTTAATAATATTACCATCTAAAACTGGCTTTCAGAATTCAATATTCTGTTTTGGAAGCAGTTTGCAATAATCTCTGTCTTTATTATACTCACTCCAATAACAAGTTCCAATTAGTGAGATTTCGTATCCAATAACAAATATCATACCTGATAGTTATCTCAAATGACACATGTCCTACGCGTAATATAATAATAGATAATAGAGTCACATGTTAGTTATTAAACACTGTTATTACGCATTGGTTAGGGTTGGAAAATAGGATCTCGAGAATCATAATACATCACTATCACGATTTCCTTAACACATATTAGGTTACATTACACGTTTTAAAGAAAACCTGTACGCGAGCGTGTAATAATATTTCGACCCCTGGGGATTACTGTCTCAATTCACTTTTCCAGTGACCCAATCAATTACGGTAAAAATGTAAGAACTAATCAATAGAGGACCATATTACACGTTCACGTACAAGTTTTAAAAACGTGTATCTTAATCTCACTATTTTTTAGGAAACAACGGGGTAGTTATGTTTTTTGATTAAGTAATATTGCTTTTGCCAGACACAGTACTGTATGTGTAAAGTGTTTAAAGTGTTATCTACAAAAATCCATTGAGATCTGCCCTTTGGATTCTTTCCAACACTGGTGCATTTACATGTACTGCATTATCATGCATGTTGCATTGTTTTTTAAATATAAATAAAGGAATAATGTTTTATATAATAGTTAATATAATGTGTTGGTTGTATTTATCTTGATTAACATCAGATTGATGCCCCACATCAATTTGATCATTGAATTGATAGCTTTAAAGATATACTTGTGAAGTGAAGGTTAGGTACACGTTTTGTACGTGTACGTGGACTTGTAATATTATGACTCCCAGAGATTCCCATTCCCTCTCAATTGGTTTTCCAAGGACCTGTATAATTACAAATTTTTGATATATACCTTTATACCTGAGACTAACATAAAATGATGGTCTCAGCTTTATACTCAATCGGGGAAGTAAATATTACGAATGGAGTACTAGTCCCCGGAGGAACATAATTTTACACGTTCGTGTACAAGTTTTCTTAAAAACGTGTAGCTTAACATCTCTATTGTTTATCATAAGACCTCAACCCCTAAATGTAAACCAAGGATTCAATGCATATTGAACACATTTTAGAACTTGGTATTCTAATAGGTGAAACTGACATCCAAATATCAATCCAGATTCAATTCACAGGCACAATGTGATCAAAATCGTACCTAAGATTGGCTGACTAAACCAAATCGCCCTAAAAAATATCAATTTGATCCCAGATTTTCATACCATGAACGAATCCGGAAAACTTCAAATTAATCCATCAACTTGTTTGTTTTGACAAGCATTTAGAGGCCACCTCGCACCAAACTAACAACAATACCAAACACTTCAGGAACGATAATTTGAGCAAAGCTGCTCTAACTTGGCCCCAACTTGATTCGCATATACATATATAGTTTTGGGTAGGGACAGAAAGATGGCAGAGTGGTATGGCTAGATCAACAATATTCAAAATCGATTTGATAACACTGACCTCTTTTATTTTGGAATCAACATGTTTCTTTCCATTCCATCAATTTTGGGATGGGACAGAAAGATGGCAGGGTGGTATGGCTAGACCAACATATTCAAATCGATTTGATAACAGTGACATCTTTTATTAACAATCCTTATATTCTGGAATCAACATGGGTCCTTCCATTCTATCAATTAAAAGTTGACTTCACTTTACTGGTACATATGTGAACAATGAATAAACACATTTTCTTCAAGTTGAAAGCCATTTATTTATGTATAATCATATCAAAATAGAGGAGTATATTATGTGCATTACACAACCAATAAGTCAGTATTCACATAAAATAAATATATAATAGAATGTTTCTGAATTTACAATAGCTTTAACCTGAGAGTAACAAAAAAATATTGTTGTTATTTTAGGTAATTTAGTCTCAGCTTTAACTAAATGGACCCTAAAATATGGCCCAAAATAATTTATAATATATATAAAATAATCTCTTTTAATGAATACTGAGTATTATAAATAGTAATACATGTACAATCGGATTTTTACAATATACACTACTCAACAATGTACTGTATAGAATGAAATATAAAAGCAACATTTTATCAAAACTAAATCATTTATAAAATGGAATAATTAAATAAGTACAATATACTTTGTTAACATCGAAGTAAAGTTAGTCCTGCTTTACATCTTTGGAAGTGTTTTCAGTAGACTCAGACTTGCCAACCTAAAATGAAAAATTTTCGGGAGATTTAACAAAAATTGCGGTACTTTTACGGGAGTTTTTTTCAAAATCCGGTAGTTTTTGCGGGAGTTTTTTGAAAAAAAGCGGGAGTTTTTACGGGAGATTTTTGAAAAAACGGTAGTTTTTCCGGGAGATTTAAAAAAAGGAGAGTTTTTGCGGTAAATTTTGAAAAAAAACGGGAGTTTTTACGGGAGATTTTTTAAAAAAGGTATTTTTCGCGGTAAATTTTAAAAAACGTGACTTTTCTACGGAAGATTTCAGAAAAAACGGGAGTTTTTGCGGTAGGTTCTGAAAAAACGGGAGTTTTTACGGTAGGTTTTTAAAAAAAAGGAGTTTTTGCGGTAGATTTTTAAAAAAACGGGAGTTTTTACGGTAGATTTCTGAAAAACGGGAGTTTTTACGGTAGATTTCGGAAAAAACGGGAGTTTATACGGTAGATTTCTGAAAAAACGGGAGTTTTTACGGTAGATTTTGAAAAAACTGGAGTTTTTATGGTAGATTTCTGAAAAACACGAGTTTTTACTTTAGATTTTGAAAAAACGGGAGTTTTTACGGTAGATTTTGAAAGAATGGGAGTTTTTACGCCGCGGGTAGATTTCGGAAAAAACGGGAGTTTTTACAGTAGACTTCGGAAAAACGGGAGTTCTTACGGTAGGTTTCTGAAAAACGGGTGTTTTTACGGTAGATTTTGAAAAAAACGGGAGTTTTTACTTTAGATTTTGAAAAAACTGGGATTTTACGGTATGCCAAGGGCAATCTTCGTGAGGTTCCACTTTTAGGTTCGGTTTTTCGTGCATGAGCATTAAATCCAGCGATTTAATTGGTTGAAATTATTATGACGCATGCGCAGTTAATAAATTAATCAGAACTTATAATCTAAGATAGATGTCACTTACGTTCATTATTTCACAGCAGTCCCTACCCATAATGCGCCTAATATTGCGGGAATATTTTGTTTAGCGCCATATAAAAACAAAATGTATTCTCCCGACAGAAGTATGACAGAATATGAACTGGCCCCCGTTTGTGAACATTTGGTGTGCAAACTTATACCGAACTGATCGCAGAAAAGCAATTTGAATCATGGGAATGACGTACTTTTAAGTTATTTATGAAAGTATCGATAGTGAACCATGGGAGCCAATCCTTTTTGGAGTAAAAGAAAGTAGCGTGCCTGCAATAATCAAGGTCACAAATTTGTCAAATTCCTTTTAAATACGGTAGATTTCGACAGCAAAAAAACGGAGATTTTACGGGAGTTATACCAAGAATACGGGAGATTTTACGGGAGTTATACCAGAAAACGGGAGATTTTACGGGAGTTATACCAAGAATACGGGAGATTTTACGGGAGTTATACCAGAATACAGGAGATTTTACGGGAGATTTCAGCAAAAATACGGGAGATTTTACGGCCATATTTTTAAAAAAATTACGGGAGATTTTAGTAGAAATACGGTACGGGAGTTTTTACGGGAGAAAACGGTACGGGAGTTTGGTATTTTTTACGGAAAAACAAAAAATTTACGGGAGATTCCCGTAAAAAAACGGGAGGTTGGCAAGTCTGAGACTAATACATGTACACACCGCACTCACTTAAATGCAGTTAAAACATATACATGCACAGTGAATAATGATCTTTAGTAATAGTACTCATACTGTTTGTAAAGACTGATGTCATGGCTTTAGTGTGTCATGGCTCATTGAATGGACACTATACTCTCTGAACTCTAATCCTCCATGAACTTATTACTTTAATCCATTGAAGACCATCCACTGTAAATTGTCACATAATTCTACAACACAGTTTAGTTCTTCAAGCTATCACCTTTTGGAAACCATACTTTGTAAACTTTCACGTCGTTCTTTCTTCTCCACCCTTCGTTTCTCCTCATTCTCTGCTTCCACCTTCTGTTTTTCCTTAAGTTGTTTTGCAGCATTTTGGTCTTTACGGTCTTTCATAGATGCCGCCACTAGATCAAAGCATGGTCCCAATGGGGCAGGTTCAACACTTTCATGACCTGCAAAATAAGCCCACATAGATGAGGCCTATGATTTAATTGTTTTGACTGGCGTAGAGACTTAATATGTGTGTGAATTATACAGTTAAAAGAATATCTCATACATTCTAAATTATTTCATTCTTCCATCAATTTTTTCATTTATAAAATTTCATTAAATTCATTTTCAATTTATTCAATTATTATTCTATTCTTTACTAACCTCTGAGTTTGTTGCCCTCTTCGCCATCAATGAGTGGGTTCATCCATGTTGATTTACGGGTGTCTGTTAGTCCAGTGCCAGGAGGTACATAAATTGTGAACGTCAGCTCCAAGACTTCCTGGCGGATAAGTCCCTTGCCCTTTCTGTTCTTACCTAGAGATGGTCATTAAATATTATAATATAAACATGCATTATGAATAACCAGCGATATGAAAAACAAGACACACAGTGATAAATATCGCACTTTGAAGAGCAAACTGGCCACCATGCAATTTACCCAGCATGGCCAAAACCTAATCAGACCTTGGCACTAGTCTGCTCTTGCATCTGTAAACATTTCAAGTTGACAAGGTTAGCGGTTTTCCTGCAATTTTGATGACAAGAATTTATTTGTAGTCTTGAACTTTGGAAAAATTTAGATAACATTGTTTGTGACCTAATTTGATGACCTTCGACCTTGAAAATTTCACTTTTTCAGACCTCAGTAGGTGTTTTGTAATTAAGCTGACCTAAATTTAAATCCCAAAAATATCAATTTAGAAAATCAAATTTTTGACCTTTTCAAAGTCACTGAAGGTCAACTAAAGGTCAAATCTGAAATCTAAGGTCAGATTTGAACTTCTGAGAACTTGTAGATGTTTTTAAAAAAAAATTTAGTCAATTTGGAGCAAGTTGAAAAATTCAAAATGGCCGCCAAATTGAAAATTCAAAATGGCCACCATGTAATTCAGCCAGCATACCCAAAACCTAATCAGATCTTGGCAATAGTCTGCTCTTGCATCTGTAAAAATTTCAAGTTGAACGGATAAGTGGTTTTCCTGGAATTTTGATGACAAGAATTGATTTGTAGTCTCAAACTTTGAGAAACTTGGATAACATCATTTGTGACCTAGTTTAATGACCTTGACCTTCGACCTTGAAAATTTCACTTTTTCAGACCTCAGTAGGTGTTTTGTAATTTAGCTGACCTAAATTTAAATCCAAAATATCAATTTAGAAAATCAACTTTTTTGACCTTTTCAAGGTCACTGAAGGTCAACGAAAGGTCAAATCTGAAATCTAAGGTCATATTTGAACTTCTGAGAACTTGTAGATGTTTTTAAAAAAAAATTTGGTCAATTTGGAGCAAGTTGTAAAATCCAAAATGGCCGCCAAATTGAAAAATTCAAAATGGCCACCATGTAATTCAGCCAACATACCCAAAACCTAATCAGATCTTGGCAATAGTCTGCTATTGCATCTGTAAAAATTTCAAGTTGAACGGATAAGTGGTTTTCCTGGAATTTTGATGACAAGATTTGTTGAAAAATTCAAAATGGCCGCCACGTAGTTTACCAAGCATGCCCTTAACCTAATCAGATCTTGGTACTAGTCTGCTCTTGCATCTGTAAAAATTTCAAGTTGAACAGGTAAGCAGTTATCCTGGAAATTTGATGACAAGATTTGGTTTATGTCCCGCCCGCCCGCACGCCCGTACGCCCGCACGCCCGTACGCCCGCCCAACAGCACAAGACGACGACAATATAGCACTTTTTCAAAGTGCGATAAAAAACAGTTTGAGATATATTTATATGTCTTCATCTACAGGCAAACAGTCAATGAAAGATATTCATAAAAACACATATAAAACTAGCAGCACTTAAGTTCATATGTAATTGGCAATTGCATAGTACGAGGGGTGATCCAAAAGTCTTGGACGCCCCGCTCTAACTTTGCTATTCTCTAATATAATTACATGAAACTTTCAGATAATAAAGATCAACATCTTAACAACTTTGTGTATAAGTTTCAACAGAAAATGATATATTTTAACTACTTTTCTTAATAGTTTTTAATACCGGGTTGCGGCCACCCGGAACGGTATTTGAATATAGCAAATCACGTCACAACTGTTATAATATGGCAAATACTTTAGGTGCAGGTGCACAACCTAACACCAGTCATGATATGAGAGAATTTCCGATTTTCAATCTGAGTGTCATCTGCCATCATCATCTTCACATATTAAGACCTACTTTTCAACATATTTTCCACGAATTTGAACACATTTTTCATACCGCTTTACCAATGAATGGAAGACATTTATGAAACCGCCATTGCTTATGTGATACAATTGCTGCTGGAGTGCCACTCTAAACCTCATCCAATGAGTAAAAAACATTTTCTTTCAACCCTTCTTTCAACTTGGAGAAAAGGAAGAAAATCACACAGAGCCATATCTAGACTGTATCGGCGTGCATATGACAGCTGCTCAAGGTCAATAATAGTGAAAATATCTCGTAGTATACTTTATTCCACTTTGATTTCTTTCATGTTCTCCATTTCAGCAGCCATCTTGGAGCAAAAATGATACCAGAATGAGGGTTGCTTGTCTGATGTCATTTTCTTAGAATTAAACATATACAGCCATTGTCATAGATGACATGATAATTAAAACACAATTAATTGATTGCCTAATAACAAAGGAAGTAAACTAACATGGTTTAACATTCAAAATTCAAAGAAAGATAGTGGTCAAGATTGCAAAACAAGTGAAATTGCGGGAACATTTAAGGCTGAAAGTAGTTGTCATGTGCGAATACCGTTCCGGGTGGCAGGGTCCCCATATTAAAAACTATCTAGAAAACTACATCAAATATATAATTTCTCCATGAAATTAACACAACAAGTAGTTAGGTTGTTGGTCTTTATTATTGGAAAGTTTAAAGTAATTTTATCAAAAACCAACAAAATTAGAGCAGGGCGTCCAAGACTTTTGGATCACCCCTCGTATGTACAAGAAACAAAGTGAACTCAGTAGCCTTAATAATACCTGTAAACATTTCACATATGTGTCAAAAACGATGTACAGTAAAACTTGGAAATGGAACTGTTCCATAAGTGGAACAACTTTTCAAGTTCAGTTATCCATGACTTAATATAAAACAAACCTCTGAAAGCAGAACACCACCAATTTGGAACACTGCTTTATCTTGAGGTGCCAAATGTGGTCCACTTACACTTACTTTACTGTACATCAATGAGTGGATTCAAAAATTGAGTTTATACCTTTGAACATTTTGTCATAGGCTTCTTCTATCTCAGTGTTAGATGGGTAGAGATCACATTCCTTGAAGTAGCTTGGGAGATCATTCACCTCCAGTTGACCTCCGAATGCCTTCTTCTCAAAGACAGAGTCGTAACCTATAAATAAGATGAACCAATGGAAGAAGAGAACCAACTTATACACCATGGAAACGTACATGTACATTATAAAAATCACATTTCTATCAAAAGTTTGATGAACTTGAATTGGAGAATATATCTTATTTAACAAAAATACATTCATTTATGTCTATATTAATTTTTGCCGTAAAAAACGAATAGCTGGAATAACCAATTTGATCTCTCTCCAAATTATTATTTTAAGAAACAAAAATGTGTCATATATGATCCTTAGTTATATCTAAAGATATATATAGTTGTCACTGTTGTCTATCTAAAAGTCAAAAACATATGTACACTGTCATTGTCCATTTGAATTAAAACTTACTCCACAAAAAAGAAAGTAAAGCCATAAACAGTTAAAAGTAACCAATGCACTATAGCAAAGCTGTTTTGAATGAACTTACGTTTCTTGAGGTCCATGAAGGTGTTGACTTGTTGATGGTTGAAAGGCGTCTTAATGTTAAGAGGGGAGACATAGTGGCGCTTCTGTATGCGTGTCAAGAGTCCTTTGTAGTCCTTAATGAACTCTGACCATGATGGGGCATGTTGTAGCGCCTAAAATATGATCAAAAGTTTTGTAGTCTTAACTGAATTAAACTTTGGGCTAAGTTGTAATTTGTTTAAACAATGATATGACTGTGCTTGAGAAACCGGTGTTTAGAAAACATTGACTTTGGATTGAGATGACCTCAGTTAAAGAAATCTTAGGTCCATTTATCATCGAATGGACTATTCCTTGATATGTGTTGTACATGTACTGTGAATTAAACATTGTACCTTTCTTTTAGTTTTTTCAAACTTCTTCCTCGTAAGCATTCCTCTAACATGTCTCTGTATACAAATGGCAGCCTTCCTGAGGATATTCTTGTCAATCACTTCCTTCACAGGGTTAAAGTTCCTTAAATACATCAACATTTCATTTCAAACACAAGAAAAAAAAAATATATATAAATATTAACATGGCCAGAAACAGATCATCTCCATTTAAATTTTTGTTTGTATTTTTAAAATTTCATGTTTCTTTTACAATATAATTAATAAATTTAACTGAATATACATTAGGATTACATTATCAATTGAATTCTGATAATTATGTGGGCAGATGGGTGTAGCCTGGCATTTAAGCAGGCATTAGTTGACTCAAGAATGTAACATATATTTTTATCTTTATCTTTTTGACAAAACTGTGGAAATGATACACCATGATAGTATTTAATGGCATTTTACCTTAAAGATGCCTTACATTTAACTTAATGCCAGACAATTTCTAGGTTTTGGTTTCGCCTTTGTAATATTGTATACATGAATCTGATTTGGATACATGAATATTGATTTCATGAATCTGAATAATTTCATATTGATTAATAATACCATTTACTCACTGGTATATATCAACATGGGGCCCAATGATGTTAATCTTACTGCGACTTATATGATGATTTTTCTGGTTTTCAAACTTGACTATTTCATTTTTCACATGACGCTCCAACTTCCGTTGTTTCTGAAACTTTTTAAAATCGCGAGCCCATTCTAATGTTTCCTGGCCTGGTTTCCGATTATAGATGGCACTTTTTCTTGATATGTGGCCACGTAAATGTCTGAAAATAAAGAATTTAATTTTGCATATGAAAAGTACTACAGCTAGTGTACTACACATACAGACTACAGACCAGTAGTCAGCTTTTCCCAAGGGGCTGCACTTTTCCCAAAAATCCAGGGTAGGGGTTCACATTTGACATATTTGGGCCAAGATCACTTGACAAGAGCTCAGAAGTGTGAAAAATGCATGATTTTCGTCCCTTTTTTTAATCTGCCATAGACTTCCATGTTAAAAAAAACTTGAAATATGAACACCTGCCAATCGGAACACTTGGCAGGTCAGAGTGGTATTTGAATTAAATGGTTTAACTGTATGTACAACCTATTTTACATTTGAATTAAACAGGTTTTACTGTACAACCTATTTTACATTTGAATTAAATAGGTTTTACTGTACAACCTATTTTACATTTGAATTAAACAGGTTTTACTGTACAACCTATTTTTGAACTGACCTTTGTATTTGAACTGCTGCGACTCTCTCATCCTCCAACTTCATACGCTCTTCACTCTGTAGCTTTTTGTAGACGTTTCTAGCCACATAACCTCTAAATATCCTGCCATCAAGAGGGTGTCATTTATGGTAACACAACCAGATATTAAGTAACATGTATATTTACAATTAAAGCTAATTATGAGTATAACAATAAAGAAACTATGAAAAATAAAAAATATTTCTTATAATTTTCTTCATACTTTACAGTGATGTGCTTTATGACTGGTGTCACCAATGTAAAAAGAAATATAATGTAACAAGTTGGCTGTTATAGAACATACAATGTACATGTTGCACTGGACATTTAAATATTGTTTCTAAGAACTAAAATACAGAGTTGTAATTTAATTATTCTGACACCAAAAAATACCGGCTGTTGGTTTAAGTTACTTTTTTGGCCAACTCATTTAAAGATGAATAGAACCTGCCACTATTCCATTCATATTTAAATAAGTTGACCATAAAATAATGGGTTAACCAGACAGCCCAGGGGCAGATCTGGGAACCAACAAGGGGAGCCAAATTTCAGGCCTGAGAAAAAACTTTGGGCCCCTAAAACCAAACAGAGGGCCCAAATTTTGAGGCCCATTTTCTTCAAAATTTGGCCTAAAACTAAACATAAATAAGGCTTTAAAAGGTCTAGTAGACCAAAAGGCCCACTTTTTGGGGCCTCGAGGCCCAATGGGTTTTTATGGGCCCACCCAAAGGGGGGGGGAGGGCCCCTGGATCCGCCAGTGCAGCCGACAGATGGTGGTTGTATTTGTGAATGCTAGCTTAGACATGTTATCTATAGGTGCTGAAACTAATTACAAGAAATCCTAGTAAATGTCAATTACCTTTGAATATCTACTGCGGCCTTCGCTTCCTTCTGCCTCTTCACCTGCCCAAACTCCTCCACCTAGAATATAGTACCACCAATAAATTATTCCTATTCAAGTAGCATTTTTGGAGAATTGATTTCAGAATTTACAGTGCAATAATCTAATGTTTAAACCTGTAAAATCAGCTGCATAATCTGTACTTGAAAACAATGTTTTTACTGATCTATATTCAGAGATTATTAAAAAATATGAGAGCCTTAAAGACAGAATCAGATCTAGTGAGATAGGTAGGTTAATTGCACATGTTATTTACAAGTGCTTGCAATTTTGTCACTCCCTAGAGAGACGTTCCTATACAATTTAGAGTGTTAAATTATTCCTTGCATTTTAAAATACAGCATTAAGTTTACTTACAGGGTCTGGTATATGAGACACTTGTGCTATTGGTCTGCCAATACGTGCTAGATTACTCCCAGAGGCTTCAAACTCGTTGGGTTCACTCTTTATGGTATCTAAAGCTTCTAGGCTACTTGATGAGGATTGTGCTGTAGGTATACTGACAAATGATTCATCTGCTTGTGTTTCAGTAAAATTAACATGCGATTCAATGGGGCTATTTTCTTGAAAACTGGTGCTGCCTTTAGGGCTATTTTCCTGTGATTTAGGGCTATTTGCATGATGCTCAGTATCATCAGTTCTATCTGTATGAACAGTGTCTTGCTGAACATCTAGATCTAAACTAGTGTTATCTACTACTGGTGTCAGGTTAATACTAGCATTTACATCAGCTGTCTGATCTTCACAAGAATCAGCATCAGGAGTATTTTCAACTCTACGAGTATTTTCTACTCTGGAAGTATTTTCATCATCACCAGTGGTATTGTTTTTCACCTGTTTTTCATCCTCATTTGATATGGCACCAGAATAATTATGACCCAGCTTAGCTGTGTTATCATTGTTCTCAGGCACCCCATCATCATTGTTATTTGGCACATGGTCACCAATTGGCACATGTTCACTGTTTGGCACATTTTCACTGTCACTTGGGTGTTTATCATATGTTTCATCCATGTTCATGAAATCATTTTCACCACCCTCGAAGTTATCCTCATCCTCATTCTTAAATGTCACTCTTCTGGACTTTTCATCAGATTCCCAGACGTATGATGTGAATGCAGGGTTTTCTATAACATTGTTTATATGTGCTGGGGAACGTTGCTTCATCTTATAGAATTTCCTCACAGTGATCGAGTCAGTGAGGTCCCCTGGTGGGTCATCCTGTTCTTCTGAATGAGGGTGGTACACTTCCCCAAACTTTCTACGAAGATCAACAACTGAAAATGAAGGAATGATATTTCAAGTTTAAATACGAACTAACTGTTACTAATTAGGTGGGTGGGTCAACTTTTAAAAGTACATTATTTGAAAGTTTAATAGCAAAACTAAACATGCATCATTTTTATCTGGAATATGTTAGTATTTTTCTTATAAAATATAATGTTGGATTTATAGCAATTTACTTAGATGTAATGGTGAATCATGGTTCAGATTAAACAAATACAAATTAATTTATTAAAAAAGGATTAATAATGCTATCCTCAGTAGCTTAGAAAAAATTGTATTTTCGAACTTTTTGTACTTTTTGAACCTTGTAAATGACCTTCATGTATTATAGTGAATGGACACCCACCTTTCTCCATATAATGTCTTGGACTTTTAATTGTCCTAGCATGGTGCTCTAGCTCAGGGGCAAATGCACTACCATGTCTTGGGGACCTGCCTCCGTATGGATTACTTGGACTAGGGATTGAGGGGCGAGTTCTTACAGGGGCAGATAGGACACGGGTTGGATGGTGTTGTTTACGATGTAACATCCTTTGCTGTTGTTGTATCGCCTTGTGATGTGCTTGAATGTGCTTATGATGTGACTCATCTCGAATATGATGTGCCGTTTTGGTTGGTGTCCCGCTGTAGGGTCTGGACCTGGCACTCCTGGGGGTAGGGGATATGGAAGGTGGGACACAACCATCGCAATAGTTCTCAGGAATTTGGACTGCTTTACTCCAATGCTCTCCTCTGATTCTCTTGGCAATGAGAAGCGATTGGTTAGGGTGCAGACCGAGCATTTTATCCTTCGAGATTTTATGAGCTTGAAAGTCAGGTGCAAAATTCCACAAAGGAGATTGCGATAATGTCTGCGAAGATTTTCCTTTTTTGGATCTAACAGGAAACATATCCTTGAAGTTAACACTATTCTTATTATCGCCCCCTGCCTCTTTTTCATTATCAACATTGTCATCACCTGTAGGATCATTTATATCAAAGTCAGCCACATTATCATTTCCAGTTGATGGAAGTTCAAATGTTACTTCTTTCATTGATTTTTCTTCAGTGTTAGTGGTTTCTTTGCCATCATAAGAGAGTTCAGTGTTTGGAGGAGTTTCTACCCTCTGAGGGACATCAGCATCTTCATTATAAACATCAGCAGAGATATTGTCACCAGTGGTTGGATTATCAGCTTCCTTGAAAAGAAAATAATTATACAAATATTATATTTCAGAAATAGAGTACCTCATCATGTAACAATTAAATTACCAGCATTGCCAACCATAAAATGTACATGAATCAGATAAATCTTAGTCTTCACACATCTGAAGATAATTATAAAAGACTAATTGGAAATGAAGCCATATTTTGAACTTAATATAATATTATATATTTATCAGCCATGCAGAATTAGAAAATGACGATGAGCAAAAATCATGGATCCAGAACTTAACAAGGGGGAGGGGCAAATTCTGACTCAGCCCAAAAATCCCTAAAACCAAAAACTGGCCCCAAATTTTGAAAATTTAAGGGCCATTTTTGATAATTTTTGAGGCCCTACAAAATTTTGGGGTCCATTTTTGGATCTATTTCTCAAGTTCATGATCGGCACGTTACAACTTACTGTGCGGTCAGTGTCAAGGTCATCTAGGTCACCGAGGTCAGCAACATCAAGATCAACACTTGAGTCAGAATTCAAGGTCATACCCTAAAATGGAAAATAAAAATAAATACAAAATTCACAAATTGCTTGAATATGAAGTCAGAATAAGCTGTTCATATAGAAGCAAGTGAGCTAAAATTATCTATAGAATATCATGACAAGAATGGAATTCAATTAGTACAATTTTTAGCTGATGAAAAAAAGTTCAGTCAGGAAGCTCCAAACATGACTATCTTTGCTCTTAAAAGTAAAGAATTAAAAGTAGTGTCATGAAAAGTAATAATGAAACTCCTGTTTTTTTCAACAAATAAACCAACACACAAGTAAGGAATCAATTGAATAAGCAAACAAGGCGTTAACATGCAAAATGCTACCAAAATGTTGCCATTTGTTACAGATGCCGAACACCAACTGCCAAACTGTGAACACCAACTGCCGCCAACAATAAGTTTGAGACCTAACAATATGTGGTGACATCTGGTGGTGACATAATAAATGAACAAGCAAACAAACTTACATTGGGCAGGTTAAGATGAGGGATAGAGCCTTCAGTACTTGCACCATCATAAGGCACTGGTGTTTGGTACGGTACTCTGGGCTGCTGTAGACTGCTGACTTCACTATAAAACAGTACATGTTCATTAAATTCTCTAGATCTCTAGAGGTGAGGATATATGGGAGAAATGTCTCCATTTTTGTGAAACTTGCTCCAAACTCATCTTTATCCCTTCTACCTACATACTCTATTACATTAAAATTATTCTTATAACACCATGATTGGTCTTTAACATAAATAACCATATTGATAACCTCACCTGTCTGGTCTTGGACCTGTCATTCTTGAAGCTGGTCTGCTACCTGAATAAATAATAATTTAAATTATGATTGATTTCTACTGATTCATTACGAGAGTCCATATTTCACCTTATTTTCAAAAATGTGTTGTACTGTGAACATTATGATTTGCATTGCCAAAATCTTGATTCCTATTGGGGGTTTTCAGAAATTAAGAGTTCTTAAAGATGTTGTTGTTTCACAAGGATGGAGTTAAGGTTCAAGTTGATTAAATTACAAATTAAGTGAAAAGATGTTTTACAAATAAACTGAAAAGATGATCTACCTTGCACCGAGGCAGGAGCACAAAATGTCAGAAACTGCATAGGATTTGGTGTGCTCTCCTGCGCTGCTATGTATTTCCACATTTCTGCTTCTAGCCTAGATGGCACCTGTAAAGGAAATAATCAAAATATACAGTGAAACCTGTAAAGTTGAACACATCTTGAAGTGGAACACCTCTGTAAGCAGAACACAAGTGGAACACCTCACAAGTGGAACACCTTTCAGATGTACAAATGATGTTTCTTTTAGACAGGTTTAACCATATATCTATTTATGTATGTATGTATGAGAGTTTCATTAGAAATATACCGATAAATCAGGACATTTTGAATCAGGATAATTTGAAGTCGACGGAGTTATCTATTTAGTCCAATCATGCACAGACATTCATCATTTACTAAAACATATCATACAGTCAAAGGTAAAGATCTGCTGTATCAAGAATATCTATTAAAGCCATAGCTTGATTTACATAGTGAAGAAATAATATCAACACGCTGGTTGCTGGAAAACACGAAATTCAAGAAATATTAAGATTTGATCTACCAAATGAGACTAGTATATACTAAAGTATATGGAAATATGTTACATACCATGAACTGCATCCTTTTTTGAAGACGTTTATTCTTCCCACGGCCAAGTTTCTGAACCATGAAGTCACCATTGACTGTGTCAGGGTCGATTTCAGTTGTTTGATGGCTGGCAGCTTGATGTATTGGCTGGTTGTCATCATTAGGCTTAAAAACAACATTTACGATCATTATAATACATTTCAGAGTTCTCCATGAGATTTTTTCATTTCAAATAATGGTATGTCATTAAGTGGAAAAATAACGAGTTTTAATTTTAATGGATGAATAATTCTTGCTTTTACAATTCTAACCAAATTTGGGTTTTTGAGAGGAAGCAAGCCCATGTTGAAATGTCAAATTAAAGTGCATTTACCACTTGGGTCATTATGCAAACGTTTACCTTCTCTGTCTTCCACTTGTCCCTGACTGACACTGGCGCTGTCTTCGGACGTTTTCCAGCATGTGTAGCTCCAGCTGTTCTAAGAGTTGATGGCTGCTTTTTCATTTCTTTCACATAGGTATGATGGCCAAATGATGTTTCCTTCCATCTGAAGGTAAACCATTGGGTATTAAAGTTAGAGAGGGAAAATAATGTGTACAACAAAATTGTCCAGTTCTAATAAGCAATCCTCTTATAGCTTAGTATGTGTTCCAAGTATAGTGCATGGACACAATATTTTATTAAAAATATATTTCATATTGATATGTCTTAATTGCAAGCTCCAATGTGGACTGTTAGACCTGTCTTAAGTGAAAGATTGAATACCTATCAATCAATTGTAAATAGTAGGGTGATGAAAAGTACATTCATTTTGCAAAAATACTGAAATATATGCACAGAGTCACTTTAAATTCTTAAAAATAAACTTTCATAAATTTTCAAGACATAATTAAAGCTTTACTTACTTATATCTTGTACTCTCAGGTGCAATTCGTCCTCTCCAATCAATGGCCTGAACCACTGGTGATGTCATAGTGGGGGCATCTCGAGGTGTGCGTGCATCATGGGTTGAGTTTTGGGGTGGAGTAATGTTGATTTGTCTGGAGGCTAGAATATCTCTGTCAGTAAGCTGCATTCTGTCTTCATCTTCATCACTGTATAAAATAATATGGAAAAGTTACGGAAAATATATCCAATGCTAAATTCCATGCATTGTCTACTCTCATTCATTTTAATTTTTAAAGATTAAGTTTTTATTATATGTTTTGGGCCAATTTAAAGATGGCAGCAGTGATTGAATCCTATTAAGCTTTCTCTCTTGATTAAGGTAGGCTAGATGGATTAAATTATTGCAGAATTTTTTTTATTGATGCAATGTACAAACCATCAATCACACAGTGAAAATATTGTGTCAAACAATCAAAAATTTGATTGCTTCAGAATTTACCAAGCTACCAAGCTTGCCAAGGTATTCATACCATGCTTCCTTTCAATGTCTGGAGAAAATTAACAAATAAGCACAAATGAATAACCAGGATATCAAACTGACACCTGACACTAACCTAGATGCAGGAGAAGTACATACTCTTGGGGGTGCAGTGCGAGGCCGGGTTGTGACATCAAACTTCACCATAGGACTGCGGAACCCTGGGGCAGGCTCTGGGGCCACCTATAAGTCGGATGTAAAAAACATGTCATCGGGAACACACAAAATACAAACGTATTTGCTCTGTTTTCTAATGTCTAATTATTTCTCATAAAAGAGAAAATATCTAAATGTGGATTTTACCATTAAACTAGGATTAAAGATTTATTGCTGGTATATGATCTTTGAAGAGACTAAACTCTTGGGTCATATACATTATAACATATATGATATTCATCTTAATTCCTTAAAACAATGTGCCATTTCATAGTACATATCTTCATTGTGAATTGTGAAGCTGATTGAAAGTGACCAAGAACGGATTGATTTAAAATGACTACCTTTTCTTTTGCTCCAACCATGTCCCCAGTGACAGAGTCTAGAATTGTGACAACTGTGTCAAGCCCAACCTCCTTCTCATCAGCATTTCCATCATACACCTTCTGGGCAGGAAGTCTGGAAACAATAATGATCATGATTTTTTGAGAAAAGTTAGTATTGAAAAGAGAGGAATAGCAAGTGGGAAGTGAATAAAAAAGAACATAGTCAACAATCAACATTGTATACCCTAAGAAATTCAAAGTAAATGCAAGTATAATATGGTTATGGTTCTTATCCACTTAAACCAGTATTAACACAATCAAAATGTACTACTGGCACCCATCTGCCTTACTGTATTCCATGGTGCCAATATATACACAATACTGATTAATTTTAATTATCTGAAAAACTTGGCTGGAATGAAAAATTAATTTGGTGAACACGATGAATATGCTTTCATTTATCAAATACATACAATAGTGGTAAATTATTCTTACTTTTTTCGGTACACAGCACTTTGACTCCTTGTTTGCTCTGGAGAGAATGACACACTTCTTCCACCTTTAGATGGCGCTGTATTAGGTCGTGTGTGGCCCTGGAATTGTGGCAAATTAGGTGGGTAGTAGTTCTCCGCCATTTCGTAAAACTCTTCTAGATTTTGCTTTACCAGCATTTTAGGATCGATGTAGTTTTTCACTGAAACAGTATGAATATCACAAACATATGATGAATATCATATACATATGAATACCACATACATATGATGAATATCATATACGAGATATATATAGTACTATATATCATATCGTACATATGATGAACATAACATATGATGAATATTACATTTATACACTAGGGCAGAGCATTTGTACTGAAAGGAGCGTTTTCAGTACAAATATGTACTGAAAAATGTACCAGTTTTGTTTCAGTACAAATTTAAGTATATTTTTGTACTGAAAAATGCACTGAATTTTTTTCAGTATATTTTTCAGTACAAATTCATGTACTGAAAAATATACTGAATTTTAAGTACAAATTTAAGTATAAATATGTACTGAAAAATGTACTGAATTTTAAGGACAAATTTAAGTGCAAAAATATACTGAAAAATGCACTGAAAATTTAAGGATAAATTTAAGTACAAATATATACTGAAAAATGTACTGAAATTTAAGTGCAAAAGTCAGTATAAAAATGTACTGAAAAATATACTGAAATTTAAGGATAATTTTAAGTATAAATATATGCAATGAGAAATATTTGTGCCCAATAATGGAAATAAGAGAAAACGTAAATGTAAGGCATACTTTATAAACTCTAAATCACTCAAAAAGTTCTTAGAATGGTGAAAAAGTGCATGATTTTAAAATAATTTTTGGCCGGGGGGGGGGGGGGGGGTTCGCTTGGACCCCTGAACCCCCTCCCCCAGGAATGCTATTACATTATGTAATTATTTTGGATGCTTCCTTTACAGCAGCCTTTAACCAAACTTAAAAGAGTCTCTCTGTAATCAGGTTTGTTTTGCCTTGTCAAAATATTTTGTTTTGTTAGTGGATTAATAAAGTTTCTTTAAACACATCCTTTAAAGCAGACTCTAATCAAACTGGAGAGGCTAGGTTTACTGTAATTAAGTGATTTCCTTTTTAGAAGTTATGTTTATGGATTTATTAAAAACGGCCTCAATCACTCAAAAAGTTCTTAGAATGGTGAAAAAGTGCATGACTTTAAAAGAATTTTTGGCCAGGGGGGGGGGGGTTCGCTTGGACCCCTGAACCCCCCCAGCAGACTTTAACCAAACTTAAAGGAGTCTCTCTGTAATCAGGTTTGTTTTGCCTTGTCAAAATATTTTGTTTTGTTAATGGATTAATAAAGTTTCTTTAGACACTGTAATCAAGTGTTTCCCTTTTAATAAGTTATGTTTTTGGACTTAATTATTTAAGACGCATCCTGTAATAATATCTGATTGCATTTTCTCCATCAATAAATTTCTTTTTAGCCCGATCAAACCTATCAAATATAATGCATATATAAGGGTTATGTACTGGGAGGTTTTGGATACCCATATTTCCTGAGGGATAAACCCTTTATTTAAAACTGATCGTACATAACATGTGTATTCCATACCTTTTGAGGTTTCTAGATACATTCTACCTTATTAAGTTCTAAAATCCAAAAACATTAAAGGTACACATTTTCTCAGTCTTAAAAATAAGTTTTTCATGAGATTTTCACTCATATTGCTTGAGCAAATTAATTAATTGATATCAAAATTAAAATATATAACATGAACATAGAACCTCATAGAACCTCATTTGTTCGAGTATAGCAAAATCCATGGTATAGATGTCAAAGTCAGGAAGATGTTGTAATTCAAAATCTAAGTATATTTTTCAGTATAAATTTACACTTAAATATGCCCTTAAATTTCAGTATATTTTTCAGTACATATTTGCACTTAAAATCATACTTAAATTTCAGTATATTTTTAAGTACATATTTGCACTTAAAATCACACTTAAAATTCAGTATATTTTTCAGTATAAATATATACTGAAAAATGTACTTAAAATTTCAGTCCATTTTTCAGTACATATTTATACCGAAATTTGCACTGAAATTTTAAGTATATTTTTCAGTACATATTTATACTGAAAAATATACTTAAAAATTCAGTACATTTTTCAGTACATATTTGTACTGAAAACGCTCCTTTCAGTACAAATGCTCTGCCCTAGTGATACAAATGCTATTTTGGTCTAACAATCCACTGATTATCTGCAAAAATTATTTAGATTGAAACTTACATTTTTGAGTTTTTTCGTCCCATTGAGCATAATCGGAGAGGACTTCAAATGTGTAATGCTCTGGCCTAGTGGCATGGTCATGGGCAACATATCGTATACTATGTGGAGTTCCGCTCCTCCCAGCATGCTGCAGTTTAGCTATAACACAGTTTATATAATGTATAGTCCTGGGTCTATCTAAATGCAGAACTCAACGAGGAAAATATGTTTTGAATTTAACATTTATTTTTATGACCTTTGTCTTCAGGGTAATGCAAACGAATAAATGCAATAGTTACATAATACCTAAAGATTAAATAAACTGCCTATAATTCACATATTTATTTGATAAATGAATACCCACCCAAAACCTCTTGTCCATGTGTCTATTTATTTACAGTAAATTAAAGACTTTTATCTTCCTAAAACCTCTTGTCCATGTGTCTATTATTTTCATTAAATTAAAGACTTTTATCTACCTAAAACCTCTTGTCCATGTGTCTATTATTTACATTAAATCAAATACTTTTATCTACCTAAAACCTCTTGTCCATGTGTGGAGTAGCCCTTAAATGTTTCCCATTGTTGAAGTTTGCCATTCTTTACCTCAGCCGCAGATAAAGGTCGACTCCTTCCGCCCTCAGGGAGAGTTTCTTCAGGATCTTTAAATACAAGAATGACACATTCACATTGATAATTTTTTTTAATTTTTTTTTATTATACATAAATTTATTCCTTTAGTAAACGATAACAGACAATCAGACATGCAGTTGATTGCCAAAGTTTTTTATAAAAACATTAGCGGCAATTTTAGACAATATGAATAGGAATACAATAAAAAAATGTAATCTTATCACATTGATAATGAACGCCCAATTCTGGGAAAGGTTAACAAATTCAAAATGTATTGATAAGCAATAACATTAATTAATATTCAAAGGTTTGAACTTACAATTTGAATTTGAAATATGTCAGTAAATGACCAAAGGGGAAAAACATTTTCTCAGTATACATGAATAGCAACCAAAAAGGTCAAACAACTCATATCATAAATATATCTTAAGTAAATATAAAAAGTATGTAATTTCAAACTCAGAAATCAAGGTAGTATTGTTGACACATACTTACTTTCTGTCATCAATTTGTCATTCAATAAATGAACCACTGAATGATTGCATTAACAAAAATAAAAAATCAATCAATTAAATTCAGATACACCATAAACATGGACTTGAGAAAATGCCTAATAATATTGATATGTCAAGATGGTTAAATTTAGGCATGAATTAATTATACGATTAAAATAGTTTGGGCAAAAACATTAGTGAAAACTCTATACTATAATGTCTCCTTATGTGCTGAAATGACAATATAAGATACAATGCCTTACCTGGAGTAGAGCTTGGTATCTTTATGCTCATGGGAGTTGATCTTCCATCAGTTGACCTTCCATCAGTAGACCTTACATCAGTTGAACCCCCTCCCTCCTGTTCTCCCATTTCCAGGGCTTCAGGGTTAGTATGAGGATTGATCAGGTGAGTTAATGGATATACAGTTTGTTTCATCTTTTGTATGGTCAAATCTTCAGGGTTAGGGGGGATGTCCGCTTCCTGGGGTAGCTGTAAAACAGTGGGCCATAAAGATGCTTCAGTCGCCATATTTATTTGTTCAGAAAACAAAGCAAGACAATCATTTAAGGTGAAGATGACAACTGAATACCAAAATAAATATAATAAAAATATCATAAAAAATATCATAAAAAATGAAGAGACTGTTTTCAAAATTCTTTGCTCATGATCATGCAGGGTTAAATTTGACTTTGTTGAAATGTCAACTCTCCTTCTATTCTGTATTCTACTTCATTCAATCGTACTTGGGCATAATTTGAAATGACAATGACGACTCTGGAAATAATGTAATAGAAATAATGTATGAATATTTTACTTACCACTCCCATGTCTCCAAGTCTTCTAAGGCTACTACCAGGCCTTATGACACCACTACCAGGCCGTGATGCTATACCACCAGGCCTAGCACTAGTAGGCCTTGATGCTGCACTACTGGGCCTTGAAGTCTCAGTGGCTGGTGTGATATTCTGCTTGGCATCTGTGCACATTAAAAAATGAAATAATCAGATGATACAATAAACAATGGCAATTATCAAATGAAATATTGGATTTGAACATAGGAAATGTCATAAAAGTGCAGGAGCTGATAATAGTACTACATATCTAATCTCTAAATATACAGGCTCCTGTTTAACTTAAGATTACCCACCTTGTTTCATTGCTGATTTTCTGGTTGAGCTCCCAGGTCTACTTGAGCTTGGGGTATTGTTCTCACTGTTAAAAGGTGTCTGAAATTAGCATAAGATATAAGCCTTCATTAATACTACATTAATGATATATCACACTTGGTACCATATAACTTGGTCTTGGCTGTAGAGGGGGGACGGGACTTATTTCACACCCTGTATATGATATGCAGTATAGTGAGTGTCAATTAGTAATAATCTAATCATTACATTGTACTGAATCATATTGCATTGAATAGAATTGTACCTTATTTTATTGTATTGTATCCTTTATTATAAAGGACGATTCTCGGTTTGGAGAACAGTCTCCTGGGCTAATAATTTTTTTCATGAAAAATATAGAAATATTACCCAAATTAAACTATGAATATTCAAAAGAGGACATTTAAATCTACAAGATGTAAAGATAACAAATTGGTCTGAAGCAGGGATAATGCTCAAATAGACCGATTCAATATAAATACAAGTCTCGATTCGGGGAAAGAAGTCCATCAGTGTACTGAGCTAATATTTTTTTGCGAAAAATCTAGAAATATTACCCAAATTAAATTATGACTATTCAAAAGAAGACATTCAAATCTTTATTATGTAAAAAATCAAATTTGTCCGAAGCAGGGATAATGCTCATTTAGATTGATGAACTTCGTTCTCCAAACCGAGAATCGTCCTTTACTACATTTTAGTTTTTATTTCCATTTTACTTTACTTCTACACATAATTCTGTTGCAGATTTCATGAATCAAATTTACCAAATAGTTTAAAGAGGGTGAATTAACTAAACATTTATACATTGATCTATTCATGTTACAGTTCTAAACAAAGAGCTGTTTTACATTTATGTACTTTCTAAGCCATAAGTGAGTTGGCATCCAGTTGTGTGGATTTTTTAAATTAAAGTGTATTAAAGAGTACTTGCGGGGAGTTTTATTAATATTATTGCTGTACAAGAGACGAATGTTTGCTCGTTTATAGTCTAAACATCTGTGTTATATGTGCAAGTTATAAATTAGACAACAATTTCATCTATACAGGGTAGTCAGAAAGTATAGGAGAATGAATAAGGCGTATTAAGTTGGAATACAATGACTTAGCTGAGATCTCCAGATGATACATGCGCATGTAAGAAGATTGCTCGCTTATGCAGTTTTACATATGCGAAATATCATTTGCTGATTCCACTATATATTCTGTCTCCATGACAGCATTTTTTCTCTAGAGTGAGATTAAGATCAAAAAGATATATCAAGTGTTAGAAATGCAAATACACATGCACATAAGATTACAAGAATGAAACAGGACAAGTACATGTACATACACAAACCACAATTCTATTCTACCTTCTTTTTTGAAGAGTTAGCTGTTGAAGGGCGACTCCCTCTAGTTTTTCCATCCTTCCCGAGAAATTTGATAGACTCCACCTGTGATCATTTTTTCAGAATGTAGAGACATGTTTAATGTTTAGAGATGTTTTTTAATGTTGCCCTTTGTGTTTTCTAGCTGGTCTTACAATATGGACCCATTACTTCCTTTATTTTGAAGAAAATGTTTGAATTCAAAAATTTAAAAACTCTTATTGAGCAGTTCAGTCTTACCTCATAGCCCTCATTATTCACATGTGGCTTCTTCTTAGAACTCATTGGTCTGTTTTCTTTCTTGAACTTGAACGTTGGAGGTTTCTTAGCATCTTCTATGATGTGTTTACGCTTCTCCAGTTGGTGCTCTTTCCCAAAATGCTGAAAAATATTTGGTTTCACTTTAAAAAGGCACATTTGTAGATGTGTTTGGCATCCTATTATTTATCTGGTACATTTCTGTACAGCATGTATAGTAAAATCTGTAAAGTGGAACGAGCATGAGCTACCCCCCCCCCTCCCCCATTAATCCCTTTATCCTATCATACCTAAATCAGAATAAATTCCTGGTTGTATACTACACATGTATTGAAAAGTGCAAGTATAGAAACTGAACGCAGACATTGATATTTAACTGGGAAAAACTGTACCAGAAAATGTACTTGACACTTAGATAGTCTTAGGATCAGATCCACCCCGTGTAAAATTAATCTGAGCAGGGGGATAATCATATTGAGATTAATTCTATACTAGAATTCATCAAGTTCTATTCATCATAGCCATGATTAAAGATAATACAGACTTGGACAAGGCTAGATTATGGTTCACATACATATTTATTTATGATCATGGATCAAGTTGTTCTATGGTGCAGAGAATCTCAAGGATTTTAAGAATAAATGAGATTCTTAAAGACATATCAAGTCAATGATCAATCATAACATTAAGGATGAATTTATGTTTTACTAGTGATCATCCCAGCATTTAAGCATTTAAGCAAGTAGGCGCTGCACCCACTTCAGATTTTAAAAATAGTCTTGCAACCACCTGAGAATCCATTTGCAATTTTGCACCCACTTGAAAATGAGAAAAATGATGAAAAATAGGCATATTTTGACCAAATTTGGCCCAGAATTTTGCAGCCTCTTGAGAAAAAATCCTGGGGAGAACATTGTGTTTTATTCAGATTGCACATAGGCAAAGTAACCCTTCCATGGATCACATATATGGTTACATTAATCTCTTATATCTGAATAAAGCTTCAGTAATTTCTTTCTAACATTATTTTTTCATGCCAAATTTGACATAGCATCCACTCTCATGATAATCAATTACTATTCTTCACTTTTCTCCTAAAAGTGTAAAATCTTAAACTTACTGGCTGACAATGGAGGATGTGTTTATTCGCCATATACCATTTATTGACCTTCTGCAAGTTCTGTTTCTGTTGGACTGGAGACCAATCACTGCAACAAACAACAAAATTCAAGTTGAAACATTAGGCATTTATAATGAAAAAGAAGAAACTACCTTGTTACATTTACAAATGTGTTGTTTGATACCATGGGCTTCCAAGATAATGCAAACTCTCTATACACCTAGCCCCAATTATATAAAACAATAGCTATAACCATAAATGTATGTTAACACCTTTATCTTGGTGGTGACATAAAAATACATCAATTTTCCATTATAAGCCAATACAATGTTTAATTGACCTTGAACTGATCTGATCCACAAAATGACTGGTTGTTTTTCAAAAGGGTATTCTCATCAACGGTAACCATGGTGATTAGAGAATAGGTCTCCATTATAACATGATGAAGGCATTAAGTTTTCTAAATTTAAAACTACTTACTCAGAAACTTCTCCCAACATCTTCATGAGGATGAAAAAGAACTGTGTGTCTTCATAAGCTTGTTCCCTGAAAAAAGGCACGACACAATATAGAAATATTTCTTATAACATTACCAATAAACATTTGTTTCATGAGACAGAAAAAGTGGGTACACATAGAGATGGAGCACATACAGTTGACAAATGAAGATTGACTGCATATACCAAGTATAGCAAATTAAGTTTAAAATCATGAGAAGGAAGAGATCTAGCGATGCTAAAAATGTTCTGATTTGAAAAAAATAAGAGATGGATACAGAACACAGCAAGAAAAGGAAAACATCTAAGAGTATACAATTCATAAGGAAAACCAACCCCAACTATCCCAGATCATAATCCAACATGAAAAGAACCAGTGTCTCATATCGCCCTTCCCAAACCATTCAGAAATGTACATAACACATGCTAAATTATATACTTACATAAGGTCCTTTGATTTTCCTGTCAGATGGGCCAACTTTATATCTTTATGGTGAATTTCAATCATCCCAAACATACTCTTGAAATCAGCAAAGTTCATCATCTGTAAAAAGCATCATACAAATGTACAATGTGCTGAACACATATGCGCATATGCACATACACAGTATGCTATGACAAGGCTACTGTCCCATACTCCATACATAAAACTCCAGATTCCCTGGACTTTTCAATTTTGTGCAGTATAAAGAATTACAGTGCTGGTATATATTAATTGATTAGTCGTTTTATTGCCATACTTTCTTGAATTTTAACATTTAATGTCCCAAACTCACACAAAATGCAGAAAAGTATACACCATAAATCATATATACCAAAATGAGTGTCTCCAAGGCTTCACACCAGCGTATGCATAGTTCATTTGTCACAAGTTTGAGCTGAAATTTCGCCAAAATGAAGTAGGCTCAGGGTAGTCTCTGCCAGGTTTGTTTATTGTGGTAAGCTTGTAAGTGCTCAGAAGCAAATAATTCATGAGCGCAAAATAATCAAATAATCTGATTGGTTAAAACTTTGCTGCACATGCGCACAATGTATGCCATGTTTTTTCTAGTGATTTCGTTTCGTTTCATGGAGTTTGCGTTTCAGTGTAACTTCCGCAAAAATGGCGGACCATGAACAGAATTAACAGGTAAAATCACTTCGTAATTTCAAGAGAACTTTTTACCTATAATAGCAAAACTTTTGTTTTATTTGTGCATTCTATCTATCAGATAAGAGTCTCAGGGGTATGTAGGCAAATTTATTTTGGTAGGAGCACTCTGTTTAGTTTGAAAACGCACCCTTAATTATTATATATCAGCACTGTACCTGTCAATCAGTCTAATATGAGTCTCTAGCCCCTAATTCAACTTGCCTCAAAATGAAAACATTTGAATTAGCTACCCACATTTAGAGTACACGCAAAAATTGAAGTGTGATCCACAGTCAGAGAGAATGTTTCTGGCGAAAGGAGATTCTGGGATTTCAAATACAACTATTGATATCATTCCCGTTCGAAGAACGTACTAGTATTAGATGTCCGTGGTGTGATCTCAATCTTTCCAGCAGATTGGTGACAAACATTTCATTCTTTGTTACCCGTCAAATCAGTTTTGTGTCCATCAGGTCAGTTTTTTGTACCCTCAAGTTGACGGACAAATAGTATCACCCATTTTGTAAAGCTGACCTTTGATATTTATGATTCAACTGATATTTATGTTAAATTGAACACAGCAAAGACTGTGTTGATAATGTCCCAAGACAGGGTTCGTACACCTTTTTCAAAATGAATTTCCCTGACATTTCCCTGACATTTCCAGGCAAAAAAAGGAAATTTCCAGATCTAGTTTTCCTTGCACGGCCTCTAAAAAGTCTTTAACAACTGTACAGGGTGTTCCAAAAGTAACAGGACTGGTGCTGGCATTTTGTTAAATATGCACCAATCCTCTTCAAAATTTTACATAACGTACTTTCATGTATCGTTACGAAGACTGCAAAGTTTCGACAAAATATATGAAACTCGGGTAGAGTTATGGTTGCTATAGTAACATGACATTGCAATACCCGGGGCAACATTCCACGCAAAAAACATTAAGCATTTTGTACATCCCATATCATTTTGTACATGCCTCATCAAAGTTGAAATGCAACAACTGGTAGGAATTACATTTGTTTTACATCATTTGAGATTCCTATGTATCCTCTACTTTGAAAAATAGGCTCCTCTTTGGTCAGTACAAGAGTAGTACTCTGTGTCCATGACCCAAACACATGAGTGAACCCATTTGAGGACATGTCACGCAGGGTCGATTGGACAATTTGGAGAAGGTCATTCTCATCTTTAAAGGTCATACAGCACTGATTAGCATTCCGTTCTCAATATAAGTAAAAAAATTAGATATTGCATGATCAGAAGAGTATGGTACATGGTTTTAGACCTCAAGACCTAGCTCCTCTATGCTGCATGGTCTTTAATGGTGACCTGCAGGCAGGCGCGCTATCAAGGTGGATGACTGGCTTCAAATTGGGTCTTTTCAAAAACTCAACCGTGAATTGTTCAGACTGTTATACGTAGTGATATTCCAGGAAATTGAATAAATACTATTATCATTATGAAATTATACTTGAATCTGAGTTGTATAGCAACATCTTTACAACAAAGTAACTAATAAAATAAACAAGAAATGTTGTATTATAATAGGTGAATTAGATACTTTCTTCAGTAATACAAAAATGTAAGATATCACATTTTCAGGAAAAAAGTTGCCCCGGGTATTGGGATGTCATGTTACTATAGTAACCATAACTCCAACCGCATTTCATCATTTTTTCTGAAACTTTACAATTTAAAGTTGCAATACTTCACAGTACACTTTGTGAAGATTTGAAGACACTCAGTGCAAAATTGACAAAATGCCAGCACCAGTCCTGTTACTTTTGGAACACCCTGTATTATTTAAAAGACAAGACTTATTATGAAACATTTTGGGTTTGTCCTTTAGCATCATCTCTCATGACTTAACTCTACTTCTACAGGCCGTCTTATTCACCTTATTCCTGATACATTATATTCTCAATTCATATTTACATTGCATAAGGCCAAAGGTTAACATTCATGTGCAGGGGCATAGCCAACAAGTTTCAAGGAGGTGCATCTTTTGGGGTTTGCATCACTGCGAGAGAAGGAAAACCAAAAAGGGGGTACGGGGGTGAATTTGGTTTTGATCAAAAGAAAAATAGCAACTCCCTTGAGGGGCAATTCCCACCTAATGAAACATATTTTATTGAATACTATCATTGTGAGCATTATATGAAAAATGGCAAGTGTGTTCTTGGGCAGAGGCTCTATATACAGTAACAAAAGCATTGGTATATAAAATTTCAACCAAATCTGTCAACTGATATTTGAGTTATCATCCTGATAGATAAATAGACTGAATACGACAGGACTGTCGAACAGACAGCTCCTTAATATAAATACAATTTTAAACTGTAAAGAGTTCCAAGACTTTTTTTTTGTTTTTCACATCCCGCCCTCCTAAAATTAACCCCTCAACAAACCATGAAACATACCAGTTATTAACTTTGAATGGCCTAAGACTAACTTACTACATGGAAAAGCATAATTGTATTGAACCATCTACACATACTCTTTATTCAGTTTCAGTATAATGTTCCCACTGTTCTTACAAATAGACAAAACTAGACAACAGCAACGCCAAAGCGTAGCAAATCCCATTGAACAGCCATGGCTGACATTTTTATAACGTGTATAGCAAAAATGGCAGCCATTTTTCAAAATGGCCACCTACCAAAAGTGTCATTAGAAAGTGTGCCATGCTTATAGTATTCACATACCAAATATGAACAAAATCGCTCAACTACTTTGAGAGTTACAGCAAAAATCGTACAATAACGAGTAAAGGCCACCATTTTTCAAGATGGCTGCCATGTGCTTCTTTAATATCTACATTTCTAGCTTATTAATGTCCTATATAATTTTTTTACATTTAAAACATATTGCTATTAGAGTTTTACATATCGCACCTAAATTACTGTAAAATCGGCACTAAAATGGCCGCCATTTTTAAATGAGCGGCCATTTTTAAAAATCGGCTTTTGAGCAGAACTTCTACTCCCATAGGGTATATGTGTACAAAATATGAACAAAATCGGGCCAACAGCCCTAATGAAAAGATTTACTATTAGTGTTAACAACTAAACATTTGATTTTGGATTTCATTGATATCCTGTCATAGCCTTAAAATGTATTTTGCTGGAACATTATTTTTTCAACATTCATACAAAATTCCCTGACATTTCCCTGACTGTTTCAAAATTCCCTGACATTTTTGGCCCTTTTTGACCCAAATTTAAAATTCCCTGACATTTCCAGCACCTGGAAAAATAAATCAATTTCCCTGACATTTCCAGGTGTGTACGAACCCTGCAAGAGCATAAATTAGATTTATAATGAGTTTCTTTTATAAAAAATACAATCTAGATCTAATACACTAGCTATTAGCCTAAAAATTAAAAGAAAATATACAACATTCTACAGCGATGTATAAAACATAAAAAATCGTGGCAACTACTCCTCCAATAACTTTGATATATCGACAACCAGTCTGAATAGTTTACCTTCGATTTCTTCATTACGTTGAGACTCTTTTCCATCTCTGAAAGTTGATCTCGCCATGCAAAACTTATGGTCGCCATCTTGGATCCCTAATGTGGAGTTAAAATTATTGTAATCGGTCTTAAGCAATTAACTCCGGGATATAATCGAATTATCCTCAGCCCATGGATTCACCGATATATCATGCTCAGTTTGCCAATCGGTCCATTATGTAAAATTCTCCAAAAATGAGTTTTTAGTAACTTTTTCGGATGACCTCGTATCCTGAACGACAGAAACGTTTGATCACGTGACCGATAAAGTAAACAAACTTCGTAAATTGATATTTGTTTTTTTCCAAGCGCATACTAAGGCTAATACAAATCAACAATAATTAAGCATATTTCGACATTTGATTTACGGTATCCATATGTGAACTATACTGACAAGAAACATCGTGATTTTATTCGAAAGCGCTCAATCAATATTAGAAACTCTTCAAACTAGAGGCATAAAAGTTATTAAAATGAAACCGAAAGTAAACATGAGACGCATTGAAATAAACTTACACAGGTGCTCCACCTGGGTAATAAGAGTATGGGGTTTCCCTGCAAGTGAGGAAATCAAATCAAATTTGCTTACTTGCAGGGAAGCCCCACACTCTTATTACCCAGGGGGCACCCAGGGAGCACCCGTGTAAATTTTTTGGAACAACATTATGAAACATGTACTAACTATATGTTCTTTGAATCTCATGTAAATCACATAAAATGTATATAAACTGTTTTTGTTGATTGTTAAATTATTCATATACATCAAGGAATATAATCAGCTAATAGTAGGACTTCCCAGAATCAGTGATACATGTATGATGATTTGGATGATGAAATTAACAAACTTAAATAGATGAAAAAACTAAAAGGATGGAAAATTGAGTCTACAGTAAAACCTGTATATCCGAACACCTGGCTAATCCAAACACTTTTTATGGTATCATTTTTTTCCTCCAATTCAATCCTACATGTATGTTAAAACAAGGCATTAACGTGCAAAATGGCACCATCCGCCATTTGTTACAGATGCCGTTCCCCAACCACCCTCACAATATCAATATGTCACCACTTTTGGTGGTGACATAAACACCTTGAAATTTAAACACTTCCTCATTCGAACTGTGAACACATCACATCAGAAAAATTAACTGGTCTATCTCAACACTTTTCACAAAATATCACATAAATTATTTCTTACAAAATTGCTGAATTATTTTCAAATTAACACTGATTTGTTATAATATCAAAACTTTTTAAAAATACATCATAATGGGTCTCTCTAGCATGATTAAATTCATTTGAATCAAATTTGGAATGCCATCAAGCATGTCAAGCTATTTGTTCAAAACAAATATTAATCTTCATTGAGAATGCATTTATATTTCTTAATCCAAATGCTTTTAGTCCAAATGGTGTTCGGTTTGGACAGGTTTTACTGTATGTCTGATTAAACTTTTAATTTGCAAAAAGTGATTGCATTTCTGTATGTTTTCAGCTTAAGACCATGATACATGTAAAACATTATAATTATATACAGGGTGTCAAAAAACAACGGCACCCCCTCTACAGCAAAAAGTACTTAATGTTACATGGTGTGTCATATCTCATTTTAAAGACAATTTAATTCTGGAGTAACCCGAGATATTTCAGCTTTATATTCTATAATTTTACAGATTTACGGCTGATTCTAAGTAGTTGGTATGACCACCAGTTGCTGCTCAAACTGCTGCTTATCTGGACGGATATGATTTCAATAAAAATTCAGATAAAGGTGTAGCGTGGCATAATCCTCTTCGCACTTTCCTCACATTCTTCAGAAATACATCCTTACTGTGTCTTTTTTGAAGAGGCTCTTTGTCCATTAGTTTCTATACACTGTTTTTCAGAAATGAACCCAGTGCAGTTGAAATCTGGGGTAATTCTTTCATATTTCACTTTCTGAAGATTTGACTTTTAACCAGTAACAGAGCAGCAAACAAAGTGCTGAAGTAGCAAACTTTGAAACAATGTAGCTTTTTTAATGCTAAGTTTTATTAAATGAAATTTGATGAGTAACTCCAGAATTAAATTATCTTTCAAAAGAGGTATGACACGATATGGAACATAAAGGACTTTTTGCTGTAGAGGGGGGTTCCATTGTTTTTTGACACTGTGTATATTCACCTTTAAAGATCATGAATAAATTAAGTTAATGAGCTCATTTACTTATTAATTGTGAATTTTATTTTATACTTCTTGAGAGCACAATTGAATAAAGTAATGATATAAATATTTGTCTATCATATCTGTTACTTTCTAATCCAATTGAGTTGTACATGTAATGTTATCTACCAAAATGTTGAGAATTGAATAATCTTTAATATGATACATAATCTTATATTTTAATTCTAGTTTGGGTGTAATGTTTTGGCCCACCCTGCATATATGTACTCAAGAACTCATTTTTAACATAACAATCCATTTTGACTTCTTTAACTGATAAATATAATACATAAGTAGGAGACTACCTCTCGGTAAAACATAATTATGCCCTTTTGAAATTGATGAAATCCAAGGTTTTATCAAAAATTTTGAATGGTTCAAGTTAATACTGAGGAGCATAGAGCCCATTTATTTTGAACAATCCAAACACTTATCAATTTGCCTGATCACTTGGCTGCTATTGTTTTTTCATTTCAAACAGCCACATATAGCTGTTTTATGTAACAGTCACAGAAAAAGTAATTTATGGCGACTATTCCTCAACACATTGCCTAAAATGCCAACGTGTATCCTTTTTATTTCATATTCAAGGAAATTCAGGAAGCTGAGTCCCTTTGTTCACTTTCTGTCTAGTGTATTGACAGTTCATTTTTTAGCTGCAGATTTTTGTGGCGACTTTTTCGAAGGTGAGGATCTGGGTTTCTTCCTTTTTCTTGGGGAGCCAGTTTTCTTACGCTGCTGCTTTTTCTCCCTTTTGGCCTTTGATGAGGATCTACAGGTGAATGTGATGCACTGGAAAATAATTTGAATATTAAGTTATAATGGTAATGTTCTGAAATGCAAGAAACTTTGTTTATATGACTGTTACCATGGTAACTCTAACTGTACTATAAACGATATCTAACTGTATCTGAAGAAACATTTGAATTGATGAACTGCCATGAAAAAATGAATTTTATACTCTTTACATTCTTAAGGCATTTATTTTTTTATTTTACACTACTTATTTTATCATGTATGCCATCATGCAATTTGGTTAACTCTGATTGGTTGACAGTCAGCTCTCATTTCTATAAATTATTCAATACCACGTGACTCTGCATACAGACTCACAGATGGATAGACAAAAAGAAAAGTGATCAATACATAGGCTTACCGGATTTTCTCGCATATAAGCCCTGGGCGTATAACTGAAAGAAAGGGTAATTTCGTCTGTTATTTTGCCTCTTATTTTTCGCCCATTGGCGTATAAGTGTACTACTTTCGATTTTTGGCCCAGTGGGTGTAAAGGTGAGAAGAGCTGATGAATACAATGGACTACCGTACCTACTGTTGTAGTCCTACCGCATGTTTTGTAAGAATTATAAAGGAAATGTCACCTATAACCTTGGACTGTTGAAACAAAGTAACAACAGAACGATCCACCACTGCCACTAACGGCACAGCGTTGAACTTAATGTTGAAACAAAGTAATGACAGAACGATCTGCCAGTGACAAAATACTCTTGAATTTATTGAAAAAATCAATAAATGGTCATTTTTTATAGGCCCATGGGCGTATAAGCGTACTACATTCGATTTTTGGCCCATGGGCCTAAATTTAGGGGGGCGTATATGCGAGAAAATCCGGTAACATGGGAGACAAAAAGAAATAGTTACACTTCTCTCATTCGTACATTGACAATAACTCACCTTTTCATCTAGAATTTCCATTAGTTTTTGTTTCCCACAGCGGATCCCAGCTGTAAGTAGTTCTGCTTGGAAGTCATCAAAATCTATCGGCTCATAGTATAAAACTTTAAGATGTATACTCTCAGTTGATGTTATGTAATCATATATCTTCTGTTTTACGCCTGGAGTGGACACCTGGAAGATAAAACACCTATCATTCGATTGAAACTGTAATATTGGCAATATCATTCAAAGTCACATTTAAGAGAGTTACACTTATTTCCTATAACATTCATTTTAAATGAGTGTTCATTTATTTAGTTGCTGACTGTTTCAAAGCAGGTATGGCATACTAGGCTAGCCTCAAAGTAACCATTTTTCAAAATGACTATTACATTTTAAAACATGTGAGCTAACAAAGCATTAACAAGCGAAATTTCACTACCTGCCATTTATTAAAGACACCAAACTTTGAACACCAACTGCAAAACACCATCAACAAAAAAGTTGGAGACTATAACAATATGTCACCACTTAGGATGGTGACATAATTGAACTACACTGTTTACCTGTTGTGAAGCTGTCATTGGTTCCTCAACAATAGTTTCTTCTTGCATTGCATCATCACTGTCTGAGTTGGGATCATCATTGTCTCTTATATCATCATCATTGTCTGATGTGTCACTATCTGAGATGTCAAGAAGCCTCTTATTATTTACCCGAGCAACCAAAGGCTTGGCAGATGATGTCTTGGTGACCAAAGATTTGGTAGATGATGTCTTAGCGACCAAAGACTGGGCAGATGATGTCTTGGCGACCAAAGATTTGGTAGATGATGTCTTAGCAACCAAAGAAGGCTTGGCAGAAGACGTCTTAGCAGCCAATGATTTAGCAATCAATGGCTTGGTAGATGATGTCTTAGCAACCAATGGCTTGGCAGATGATGTCTTAGCAACCAATGGCTTGGTAGATGATGTCTTAGCAAACGATGGCTTAGCAGATGATGTCTTAGTAACTAAAGGTTTCACTTTTAAGGAAGATGTTATATCTGAACTTGATTTGGGTCCTTGAGGTTTTAAAGATTCTTTCACCGAAAGCTTCGCAGACACTGATTTTGACTTAGCTCCAGTTTCTTTATTTGAAGTTGATTCATTAGTCAAGCCTGGTGCATTAGTTCCTGTAAAGCTAGCATCACATTCAGAATCAGTTTCATATTGATGAGTCTCCTGATAGATGTTTTTCAGTACCATTATCATCTTCTTTTTGGGCAGCATTCTTACACCATGTTTGGCTATCTCTCTCTAGAAAAAAAACAGTACAACGGTTAATTTAGTTGAACATTTGTGACTGGATTTAACTCAGATTAACAATTATGCACTAAATAGTTGTTACACATTGTTATATTCTTTATCTTCTTTAAAATACCTGTATTTGATATCTGAAACAATTTGTTACACTATTGTAGCATTATGCAATGATTTAACAAGTAGTCTTACATTGATTTCAAACTCTTACTGTCAACACAATAGATACGTGGATGTTGAGTTTTGACAATTTTTGGGCAAATTCTGTTTTCAGCTACAAAATGGAGGGGTTGAGCATAGGAATACAAAATTCAATAAATAATTTAAAAAACTAAGGGTAGATTGACTTGGAATTCTAAAACATGCAATAGACACCTTCATATATTGGGCAATATTGGTTACCATGGCAACAAATGTATGATGTACATTCATTGTATTTACTACAAAATTAAGTTACCTTAACAGCTGGAGTTGCCATGGCGTCATAGTCAGGCATGGGAGTAAATGGGGAAGGAGGGACCCATGATTTACTTGCTCTGGGCTTAGGAACATTGGGTGTCTTTAGTGGCTCAGTAGAACTTCCATCCTGTTCAGGGAAAGTGTCATCTGGAACAATATTATTATCACATATAACATCAATATTATTTGGTGAAAATATTAGCCATGTGATTGTATCAATTGTATATTTATATATTGACTGCTTTATCATGTTTTTATGTAAGTCTTACATTGCATATAACATCTGGCTCAGTTGATCTGGCCCCTCCATCACTACATATTACCTTGCCTAGAACAGGGAACATGATCTTATGAAAATACTAGGTGAGTTTATTTTCAAAGGCCTGCTCTTAAGGTACACTTAATTTGGCTCTCATTTTAAAAATGGCAGATTTGGTGGATTAAAATTAGAGATCTGCCAATTCTCAGATCTATTTTGGAAAATCCCTAAATCACTGAAACTGAATTTCACTTGTGTAAGTATTTCGATGACAGAATTTACTGTTATTAGTAGTACATACAAATCTCATTTCAAGATCAATGATAAAATGATAAAACTAAGCTTTAGTCCTGAATCCGCCAAATTAGATAGCCACCAATATTTGAAATTAAGCAATTCTGCCAAATTAAGTAGCTTCAAATCAAGTAGATCTACGGTAATTAAATGTGTTCCTTTTAAATGAGTCTAGGTAATTAAAAGATTTTAATCACTTTGTTCAGATGGAACAGCATTAACAGCAGTATTTGTCTCATCCTGAGTGTTTCTAAATGATGGTTCATTTTCATCCCTCCAGAGTGCGCTGTCATTGACCAAATAGTCAAGGTCATCTGGTGAGACTTCTTTGTCATCGTTGTGTGGAATCTGCTCATCATTGTTTATCAATTGCTCATCATTGTCTAAATCCTCAGGGATAATTGACTTAGGTGAGTTATTCCCATGATCTTTGTCAACCCCTGCAACTCCAGCGTGCTCATTATATTTAGCTTCATTTCTCTTATTGAATGTTTGTGAAGTCATAATGTCATTACTGTTGTTCATGTCAATGTATCCACCACCATCATCAAAATCATCCCAGACATCCATTTCATCAGCTTGATCATCAGTAACTGATCCAACAGGACTATTATTTAAGTCTCCCGTACCATCATTTGGTGTAGATTCATTAGGACCATCATTTGGGGTAGATTCATTTGGGTCTTCATTTGGGATATATTCATCTGGGTCCTTATTATTGGTAGATTCATTTGGAATATCGTTTGAGGTAGATTCACTTGGGCCATCATTTGGGGTTGATTCATCTGGGTTGTCGTTAATGGTAGATTCATTTGGACCATCATTTGAGTTGGATTGACTTGGACAATCATTTGTATTAGATTTATCTGGACCATCATTTGGGTTCGACTGACTTGGGCCATCAATTGGGGAAGATTCATTTGAGGTAGATACATTTGGAACATCATTTTTGTTATACTGATTTGGGCCATTATTTGATGTAGATTCATCTGGAGTAGGATCATAAATAGCTGTTGCAGGATTTGTGTCATTACCACGTGAAGAACCACTTAAATTATTTGATTCTAATACATTAGGAAGGTCACTTTCATCAAACTCATTAGGGTTTTCACAAATGATCATATCAATGCAATCATTGTCTGTATTCTTGATGGGTGAGGTTATTACTTCTCCACTGATAGAAACACTAGTTTTGGATTTCTTTTCTTGCGACAGAGCCTCTGGTTCTATATCAGAGATATCAAGCTCAATTCTCTTCCTTTTATTGCTTTTAGCTCTTGTTAATCCAGATTTCTCAATTTCTTCATGACCTCTAAAATGACTCTGTGAAATTCCCAAGTTATCAACCATTGGATGTTCAAAACATGCGGCTATTTTCGAGGATGGTACATTACCAGATACATCACCTGATTTAGTCTTTATGTCAATATCAGGAAGGTCAAGAACATCATTATTAGAAGGGTCAACGTCATTTGAACCTATTGATTTGTCAGAAACTTCTGAAATGTCATGAGCTATTTTAGCAATATGCTTGTCAGCATATTTAACATTCTCATCCTGAGAGTCATACACTATGCAAATATCTTCTGTTGATTCCTCTTGCTGATGATTAACTGAATATGTCTTTCTCTCCTCTGAAGTTTCATTTTGTACATGTTGTTCACAATTGACTAGGGTTTCTTGGGAGCTTTTTGAACCTGAGATGGTTTCAACTTCCAAGGGCTTTGTTAGGAATTCATTATATTCTTTAGAGTGTTCAGTACAATCTTTTGGGGATACTGGCTCATTGTGTTCAGAATCAGAACCAAACATGTCTTCATCAGATTTGTATATCACATCAGGATCATCACTCTGATGTTCATCAACAATCTCCAAGAGTTCTTGTTCCTTATCAGAGATGTCTATAATGCTGTCTTTAGAGAATGGTTCTTGAACACTTAAAGTCCTATTGTTGTTTTGTGATTCTTTATCACCTTCATCTATCTCTACAATTTCCAGAATCTCAACAGTGGCCTCATGTTCAGTGTTATCAAGGTCACCAGATTCACTACTATCATTGTTTGGTCTTGCATTTCCAGCAGTCCATTCATTCAATGTGTTATCATTTATAGATCCAGACTTAATTCTTTTCTTAGTTTTGATGTAAGGAGTCGGGGCAAATAAATCAGGAGTTTCTAATCCAATGATTGGATATGTATTAGTGTTCCTTGGTGTTTTGAATTGAACTTTATTCCTAGCAGTCTGGTCGATCGGAGTGCTCGTAGCACACACCTTCCAATTACTTGAATTATCTCCATGCCTTGTTTTAGCGAGAGGGGTTTTAAAGGATGGTGGTGTATTATTCGTAAGCTGTATTTCTTGAGAGGTTGAAAATTTCAATGGGGACTTCACTTTCTTAATTTTGCTTTTCTGGGTTGCCATGAAACTATACAGATCATCCATCTCTTCATCAATATCACTGTTGCTATGGTTACTAGAAGTTTCTCTGTTTCCATGACAACCTGCTTGATTTCTATCATCTTCATCTTCCCAGATGCTTTTCAAAAGTGTTTCTAGATTCCCATCATTGTTAGTTTCTAGATCCTCATTGCTGTCATTTAGATTTTGTTCTACACTGTGATTGGGTAAATTAGCTATATCAGGGTCAACATCAGGAGTTTGAACACTAAATGGTATACAATCTGGACTTTGTTGATAAACTGAACTTTGTTTATATTCTGGACTTTGATGATAATCTGAACCTTGTTTATATTCTGGACTTTGTTGACTAAAACTTGTTAAATTCTGGCCAGGCCGACTTATTGAAACTCTAAATGGATTCCTCCATTTATTGCTTTGAGTCACAGGAGTTCCTAGGCCAGGATGTAACATCTGTGAGTCTGAAGTGGCATCCCTGCTGAGGCTACAGTCTGTCATAGGGGGGTCCAGACTCTGCTTCAAGGAACGGTTAGACTGAGAGGTATCTCTTGCACAGATTGACACCTCAGAGCCTATATGCTGACTTGAGGTGGAGTGTCTTGTGCTTTCAAGATGTGAATTCTGGGTAATGTTTTCTGCTGCTAACTCAGCTAGGACCAAGGCAGTCTGGGATTGAGAACCTCCAGTGGGTGTATTTACATGAGAAGGCTCCTGAAAATAGAATATGTAATCAAACTAAAGATTTATCAACATTTTCATTTTGTATTAGGTCATTTGAGTCTATGGCTTGCATCTGTATTGACAATATCCAGTAATTTGAACAAGTTCCAGTCCAGTTGATGGATTGAACATTTTAATTGTAAACATGGTGGTAAATCAAAATTATATTATTACAGACAAATACAAGGAATTCATTACAAAAGTGGTGCATACGATTTTGGACGGAGGAAATCATGAATTTTTTTGCAGGATCCATAAAATATTTAAAAAACATCTTTTACCAGTCGTACAAAGTTCTAAATCTGTGTTTGATGAGAAAAAACGATTTTATACTTCTGATTTTCAGGGGTGTAAAATCTCAAAAATTACAAAAAAACATTTCTCCTTAATTTGGTGAATTTTTTACTGCTACAAACTAAATGAGCTATATTTCAAGTTCATGAGTTATTTTGATGAGATCTGCCCAAAGGAAATATGGATTTAACCCTTTTATGTCCAAACATGTACATTCTAATCATATATCTGAAATGGATTCTCCAAACTTTGTAACCATGTTTTATTCTGAAATAATTATGGAATATTAGATTGATTAGATCTCCCTCCATTTACTTAATATGTACATGATAAGCAAGAGCCGCTGACAAACATTCAGTTTAATTGTGGGGAGACCACAAGTAGACCAGAGAGAATAGACATCACACTTACACAATCAGAGTTGCCTTGCACAGAAGAGATTCGTCGACCAGGTATCTGAGAAAGGTGTTTCATCTTGGATCCGGTGGTTATGTCACATGGTTCTATGACATCACAAAGAGATGCAACATAGAAGTCCTCCTTTGCCTTATCTGCTTCAGTAAATTTAGACATTTGCCACAGCGTAGACTCCTGAAGGAAAAACAGTTAACTGTTCATTAGTCCTTAATTTTCCTTGAATCTTGTAGACAAGCAGATTCGAATAATTGGAAGATGCACTCAAGATTCTATAGTAGCCAAGACCAGTTCATAAGTTTGTGCAAGGATACTCTAAAAATTTTGTTTCTGAGTCTGGCTGAAATTTTGACTCAGTATACCTCCACTATTCATACATTGGAATCCTAAATTACAAGGAATGGATTCATAAAGAAAAAAGTTACACCTCTTTTTTCACGATAAGTTTTCCAATTCTCAATAATTATTTCATGAAATTTTCACCTGATAAACTTTGAAGCATTTCTAACATACAAACTCCTTTTCACTAAATTACCATAAATTTTACCTTATCAAACTGAGCTGTAAGGTCCCTTGGCTCAGCATTATCAGGTCTGTAGAACAGACTCTCTGGTAGTCTTGGCGTCAATTCATTTACTTCCACATCGAGCTGAAATATGCATATATGTGTGTTTAATTTGAGAATGAGCAGTCTGTTTTGACTTTGATGCTTCTCAAAATATTGAAAATACAGAGACTAAATGTTTATGATGTCAGATGATGGTATGAAGTATGGCCAGAATTGATAAAGGTAAATCAGTAGACAAAATGAACTGAGGTGACATCTATAAATCAGACTACATAACATTTTTACATTTGCCTGCATACATTTGCAACTGCTGAGAACTTATTCTTTGAACGCAGTGGCCTTCATTCCACTCTAGTAATACAAACTTAAGTCTTATTCATAATTCTAAATCATAATCAGTTCTTTCTATTTACTGTTTGGTTGGTGACTATGGCAGCTCTACTGGCAACTATTTCTTCATTTTCCTCCCTTGTACGCTTCAAGAGTTCGGGGATAACTTCAGTTTTCCTGCAATGAACAGAACTTACATGTTTCTTAATTCAATAGATCAAAGACACAAGTTCATGAGTTTGCAAAACTTGAGGCTTTATTTTATTATCGAGTTGATAGCGAATTAGCTTAGTTCATAATTTTCATAAAGTACAATTGTGAACAATGAACACATCAACATTGTCAGAGTGAAATATATGGCCCTTAAAAAATATTCAAATAGTCATATGAAAAAATGGATTAGACATTTTCAGACCATCAAGAACTTACTTTTTTCGTTTGCCTTTCTTTACAGGACTCTGGTCCTTGGCATTCTTCATCAGCACATCAAACACTGAAGTGTTAGCATTTTCCATATTAGGAGTGGAAAATTCCATTGGAGTGGAAAATTCCGATGCAGATACTGACAAGGCAATGGCTAGTTGTGTTTGTTCTTCAAGAACACTGGAAAATAGATTGAACAATAGTAATGATGGGCGTATTCCAGGGACTACTATACATGATAATGAACTCACATTAAATAATAGAGTTTTTAGTAAATATATCTATCACAAAGAAAGTTTCAACATCATCTCTAGACATCCAATTTTTTATTGCAGACTATCTTGAACTCTTAAGATAAGCAGGGATTAAGGTCAATTCTGTACCTTTTTGGTTCAGCCTTTTTGTGTTTTGAAGCTGCAGTCTTTGGCTTTGTAGTCTTTAGCAGTTTCTGGACATCTTTTTCACTAAAATAATACTCAACATAAAGTATGTCCTAATGTAGAAATTCAGCCTAAGTACAACAGATTTAAAGGATTTGCTCATATGCTGTTGGTTAAGGGTTGGTTTGTTAAAAATCCAATAGAAAAATGTCACCACCTGCCATTTGTTGCAGACAACGGAAACCAGGTACCAACTGCCAAACACCATCCCCAAAAGTTGGAAATCATAACAACATGCCACCACTTTTGGTGGTGACCAAACAAGTCTGCAAAGGTGTTGATTCCATTTAGAAAAATAAAGCAGCATTATAGAGGAGAATGTGTCACATCCAAGATGGTTTGATATCCTGGATGGTCACATGATCAAAACTGTCCAATCAGATACGGATATATGGAAAACTTACTCAATAATTAATTGTCCCTGGTCGAGCTTCACCTTGTGCTCCTCTTCCTGCTCTCTGGCAAGCTTCAGGGCACGATCGACGGGAACATCATACTGCAGCGCACATTTCTTCAAGTGTAACTTCCTAGCCTAGATACATACATACAAAACATATCAACATCAGCGCCTGTCTAATATGATCTAACCAGAACAACGGCAAAGCCAAAGCGTAGCGAATCCCATCGAACAGAAATGGCTGGCATTTTTACAAACGAAATATATAGCAAATATCATAAAATAACACACATAAGAAAGGCCACCATTTTCAAAATGGTTGCTCACTAGCCAAGTTGTCATCAGAAGAAGTAATATGCTTTTAAGTAGCCACATATGAAATTTTCAAAAATCGCACACACGTACATGTAAATGGTGGCCATTTTTTTAAAATGGCCGCCTTCTACCCAAAATATCATAAGACAGTATGCAATCCTTACGAGTATTCACATTTCAAATATAAACAAAATCGCTCTATAACTTCTTGAGTTATCATAAAAATGTAAATTAACACACATAAAAATGGTGGCCAAAATGGCCGCATACTATCCAAATTTTATTAGACATTGTGCCATGCTTAAAGTATTCACATACCAAATATTAACAAAATCGCTCCACTACTTTTCCAGTTACAGCAAAAATCGTTAAATGACGTGCGAAGGCAGCCATTTTTCAAGATGGCTGCCATGTATTTCTTCTATATTTACATTTCTAGCTTAAACAATGTTCTATATAACTTGTTACATTTAAAACATATTGCTATTACAGTTTTATATGCACCTAAATTACTGTAAAATCGGCACTAAAATGGCCGCCATTTTTAAATGAGTGGCCATTTTGAAAATTGGCTTTCGAGCAGAACTTCTATCCCCATAGGGTATATGTGTACAAAATATGAACAAAATCGGGCCAACGGTATTTGAGTTATTGCCCGGACGGACAGACGGACGGACGGACGTCATTTGTTGTTGCTGCATTGGTTTCTTCATTCATTTTCTTCTTTCTTTGTCTTGATTTGATTGCGATGTTACTTATCTTTCTTCAGGGTCCACAGACTTGAGACTGCGCATAGGTGGGTTAAACGTTTTGATCCGGCCGGAAAACTCTCCCCTTCCCCTTAATGTTGGTCTTATGCTGATTTGTCATCTTAGTTTACCCTCTTTGCGGAGAAGATACTGTTTCATATTCATTTGTTAATGTTCTCTTCTCTCATTAATTTTCCAGTCCTTCATGATGATATTCTCCTGCATATTGTATTTAGTACATATCCATTTATTTCTTGTTATAGCTTTCTTAGTATACGAATTTAGTATGTTGCTCCTGTAGCCTTGACATTGTAGTTTATTTCCCAGGCTGGTAACTCTGTTTGTTGCATCTTCCAGTTGACTGCAGATTCTTGAAATCCTTATTATTTGTGATATAAATATTCCATAAGATTGGTTTCTAGGAATATTTCCAGATAGATCAGGATATGAGACTATTTGGAAATTGAAGTTTTCCCTTTTGTCGTATAGTTTTGTAGTGATTTGTTTATTTACTATTTTCATTTGTATGTCCAGAAAAGTTGTTTCTGTATCCTTCTCATTTTCCTTGTTTAACACTAGTTCTTCAGGATAGATGTTCTTCATATCAGTCTCCATTTCTCCGTCGTTGTTTATAGTACATAAATCATCGATGAATCTTGTAGTTTTAGCATATTTTAGTACTTTGGAGTAGTCTTCCCTATACATTTTCTCAATGGCTTGAAATTCATAACTGTATAAGTATAGGTTTGCCATATATGGCGCCGGATCGATTCCCATCGGTATTCCAATTTTCTGTCTTAGAATTGATTTCCCTGCTTTAAAGTAGGCTGTATCCACGATGAAATCCACTAGATCATTGCACTCTCCTTTGGTATATGCCTTTTTATTATCCGCCTTTCCACCCCATTTGGCTTCATCTCCACCTACTGTTATCTTTTGGTTAGTTCCTCCTCTGAAGGCTTTATCTATCACCCATTTCAGTTTTTCCTTTATGTCAGTTAGATTAATCTTTGTGTACAGACGGAGGCGTTCCCTATATCCCTCCGAACTTCGTTCGATGGGATAATTACTGAAGTGTAGCATTTTTTTTATACTATTTATCATAGCATGGTATTTCTATATATTTTAGAGTGACAATATGTTCACTTTTCTGCTTGGTAACCTGACACTGTAACTGAAACTAATACGAACTCACATTATATACTTTACCCAACTTTTAAGCTGCCCCCCCCTCCCGTAATAGGTATAAACCTGTAATACACATACCCTATCTGTCTTGTGTGGCTGGCCACATATTGGGCAAGGCAATACAGATGTCCGCATTTTATTCACCACCTTTTCCTTAGCCTCTTTGTATCTCTCCCCTTCTTCTATCTGCAAATACAACACAGATTTGTTTTATATGCCCAGCAAATACATTGTACAGAACCATACAAACTTCCAAAAAGTGCAAAGATCCAAAAATATTACAAAAAATGGAATGCAACACAAACCATTAAGAGCATAACGAGCCATACACCACTAAAGCAGGGACTTTTGAAGTCATTACAATGCATATAGAGGACAAGGCAAATTCTGCTGACATCAAAATTGTTGTAGATCATAATTAAAACTCAGTATTTATGACAATCATCTACATTTATCTCAAACATAGTAGACAAGAGAAAAAATCTACGTATAAGGCCACACACAATTAGTAGGACAGTTCTGATATTAGCATTTACTAGGCTATAAGTTAATAATCCAAAGAAACGCTTAGATCTGTCAATACCTGATCCAAACAGCGATTAAGATGTTGTTGGCGTCTCCTTGAATTCCAACTTGTGAGATCTTTGTTACAAAACTGGCAGAGAAACAACTGGTTTTCCTCTTTTCTTGGACCTGCAAATCATTTTTGGGAGTTTTTAAAATATATTTGTGCTCACTAAGTCAGCATGTAATGAAGATAGTTTGCTCAATAATATCATCACAAGGCATTAACATGACAAAATGTCACCACCTAAAACAATTTGGTCAATTTAAAGCAAGTTGGAAAATACTTTTTGACCTTAAGAAGAACTTCTGAGAACATGTAGATGATTTTGAAAAAAAAATTAGTCAATTTGAAGCAAGTTGAAAAAAGACCTTTTTGACCTTGAGAAGGTCATTGAAGGTCAAAGGTCAAATCTAAAGTCAGATTTGAACTTCTGAGAACTTGTAAAGTCAAATTTGAACTTCTGAAAAGATGTAGATGATTTTGAAAAAAAAAATTGGTCAATTTGAAGCAAGTTGAAAACAGACCTTTTTGACCTTTTTTGACCTTGAGAAGGTCATTAAAGGTCAAATGTCAAATTTAAAGTCAGATATGAATTTCTGAGAACATGTAGATGATTTTGAAAAAAAAATTAGTCAATTTGAAGCAAGTTGAAAAAAGACCTTTTTGACCTTTTTTGACCTTTTTTGACCTTTAGAAGGTCATTGAAGGTCAAATGTCAAATCTAAAGTCAGAATTTCTGAGAACATGTAGATGATTTTGAAAAAAAATTCAGTCAATTTGAAGCAAGTTGAAAAAGACCTTTTTGACCTTTTTTGACTTTGAGAAGGTCATTGAAGGTCAAATGTCAAATCTTAAGTCAAATCTACAGTCAGATTTGAATTTCTGAGAACACGTAGATGATTTTGAAATTTTTTTTTAGTCAATTTGAAGCAAGTTGAAAACAGACCTTTTTGACCTTTTTTGACCTTGAGAAGGTCATTGAAGGTCAAATGTCAAATCTTAAGTCAGATTTGAATTTCTGAGAACACATAGATGATTTTGAAAAACAAATTTAGTCAATTTGAAGCAAGTTGAAAACAGACCTTTTTGACCTTTTTTGACCTTGAGAAGGTCATTGAAGGTCAAATGTCAAATCTAAAGTCAGATTTGAACTTCTGAGAACATGTAGATGATTTAGAAAAAAATTGAAGTCAGTCTAAACAGTATTTGTTAAGTTATATGAAGTTGTAAGAAATTGTTACAGACGCCGGACGCCGGACGCCAACCTCCAACCACCAACCGCCGTCGCAAAAAACGGAGACCATAACAATATGTCACCACTTTTGGTGGTGACATAATTAAAATCAAGCCCAAACTCAACGTTAAAGAAAAACTAATGTGATAGCATAAAACAGTTTGTTTAAATAAGAATTCAAAAATAGGACTGAGGATTGGTTTATTAATATTATGTCAAACGCTTAAACAATCCGTTTCCATCTTTAGAGATTAAAGGGGCCAGTGGCTGCAATTATTACAAGACTTGGACTTACTTGTCTTTGTTTCATGTTTAGTATCAAGCTGCATGTCCAATTTTGTTCTTCTGAAGTTATCTTGCAGACACTTCAGAATATGATCGCCATGTTCTATGGTGTTGATGTTTTTACCACAAGTAGTACACTGTTTAGTTACTTCAACTCCCTCAGTTACTTCTTCATGTTTGTCAGAATCATCTTGGGCACCAGCGCCACTTGAAGTCGTGTTGTCATCAAAAGCTTTCATATCATCCTCAGCTTCAGTATTGTCAATATCAAGTGTTTCCTTCTTTGACTTATCATCTTTTGATTGCTTGTTTTTCCTTACCTCTGTAGCTCTTTTGTTCGATTTCCTAATTTTGGGTTTTGAACTGTTCTCTTTTGTTTTGATGTCATTTGACCTAGTTTTATGATCATCCTCCTCCGCTTTACGGTCATTCCCATTCCCATTTGTTATACTCTTTTTTCCTTTACAATCATTCTCCTTTGTTTTACAATCATTCTCCTTTGTTTTAAAATCAGTCTCCCTTGTTTTACAACCAGTCGCCCTTGTTTTACAATCAGTCTCCCTTGTTTTAAAATCAGTCTCTCTTGTTTTACAATCAGTCTCCCTTGTTTTACAATCAGTCTCATTTGCTTTACCATCATTAACCTTATCATTTGGGCAAATTTCCTGAGATTGAGAAATATCACTCTCATTTTGACAACTTGTATTGGTTGTTCTATTCGTGCCACGTCCTTTTCTCAACCTGAGTTTGCTTTTTCGAGGAATTTGCTTAAAATCCACGCTGTCATTATGTTCAGTGGTTTGATCACTGAATATACCTTGAAAAAGCTCAAGATGTGAAATTTTAGCAGATTTTTTCTTATTTAACGTCAACTTTGCATTTTGTACAGCTTTCTTAGCTTTTATTTCTTGTGGACTTTGTCCCGGTTTCACTTTGGGTGATTTCATCTTTTTATTCAAAATCATAAATTAAGCTTGCATTTGTGTTTCAGTACAATACCAATTCATCAAAATTGTAATTATAGTGCAGTAGGTTACATCCATCTACATAGACCTAAAGAAGTCCAAATTAAAACTGCAGAAGACCAGGAAAAGCTTTAGCAAATAATGAATGTTCTAGCTTTTCTCTATATACGTGAAGAAATAACAAAAATAATTCTTGCTGACTCATTGAAAGAATCAATGTTGTCTCTGTATCCATTCACAGTTCATTCAGTTTCAAGATGAATTTTTTTTATTTCAAATAAAAATGGCTTCCTGACTCTAGGCCATCATACAATTCTGGTTTTCTATACTAATATTGTTCCTATCATTTCCTTAGTAAGAACACAGAAAATGAGAGTCTTTAATGGCTATGTCCATCATATCATATATACAACAGTTTCAATAGTAATACTGCAAATTCTATCCAAACTTCTTCATATATAATTTAAATTATAAAAGCATGTTATCTTTAAGCAAGTTTTAGGTTTTGTTACGGTATACTGTACTCCTCCCTTCAATTCTTTGAGGTATAAGCCTCTCACTTTACGGCTTCAATATAGTTGTCTTTTTACAGTTCATTAAATCGTTTCTCAGTTCAATTAAATTTTGGCAATCTTATTCCTATCTGAGTTACTTCCTCTCAGGTACTGCAGCCATTTCTGTAGCTTTCATTCTCTTTATTTTCTCGATTTCATGTAAAGCTTCTTGAGAAAGTTTATATCTCTCCATGCTTTCTTCGTGTTTCTTGTTTTGCTCATTTATCCATATTAACGTTTTGTTTTCACTAGTATCTTCTATGAATCTGAAAACAAAAAAAACTTTTTCAGAAATTTTAAAATTATAAATCATGCTAAAGTGAGGTTTCTAAATTCTATTTTCACCTAATGTCTAGCGCCAAAAGTTGAAGAGTGACGAGGACCAAATTGTTCCCTTTCCTGTCCATATATTTGGCATCAAATTGATTAAATTCAGTGGAAAATTGAGGAAGTTTATATGGTATAACTGCTTATAGGTTAGCCTGTAATGCCCAACCCGGCGATTGGCAAGCTGTTTTGTACAATAATTACTGGTTGAAAAATAAATATTGACTATTAATAAAAAAAAAAGTATAACTGCTCAAAGTCAGGGATGTTTTTGTCAACTTTATCAAAAACTAAGATAACCTCTCCCTGGCATGGTGCATTCCAGAAAATGCCATGGAGTTCTACATATGATTAAATAGGCATTGCATTTGATCATATTTGCATCAAGGTAGAATCTGAGACTAACATTACTTTTATGTTAGTCTCAGGTAGAATTTATGTCACTCTGCGTGACAAACTCGCTGAGACTGACAGATTTATACAACAAAGCTGACGGGGTGACATGGCGATGGCATCAAGAACAAACATAGGTACACAAAAAGATGAGACAAAATTTGTTTTACATCTATTGAATGTTAATGTAACATTATAGAACAGGCGCTCTTTCCATCAACAATTAATTGAATATTGATATAGTCTAAGAGAAAGCTTTACAAAAACATGATGTATGATACTGAGTAATATTACAGAACTGTGGGCGATAAGCTAAAACACACATGCAAAGGAAGAGACCTCAATATAGTACAAACAAGAGATAAGTGCAGTATCTAAGAACATACAAGCAAAGAGCTTAATTTTGGGATTCAAAAGCAACTGTCCAAAAATTTAGGAAATGGCAAGGAGTTATCAGACTTCAGTTTATAATTCTAGTTTAAATTACAAGTGTAGGATAGAGTGCTGCTCACTCGATAAAAGGACAGCCGTGGCTAAATGTACTTATGGTTCTAGCAAGGATAAAGATACCAGTTTCTGTCAGATACTGTATATACAGGGAACTGTTTTCTACCTTTATAAATATCAGGTTACAAGTTAAAAATAGTGAAATTCAACCCCTAAAAAGAATAAGATGGAGAAATTTAACCCCTAAAATACATAATAAATAGAGCAGATGGAAGAGCATTACAGGCTAGATTTCAGACTCTCCTAGACTTGATGATGATCAGATGATGCTTGCTAAATGTACTTCTTTTGCATGTGGGTGATAATAGACATAAAGTTGGGGGCATAAAGAATTACAAAACCTATGGAAATTACATGTTGTCGCATATGTAATAAATTCTTACCTCAGTGTATTCAGTGCTCTATTTTCTCCGTCATAGTAAGTCCAGATATAGTGGAATTTGTGTCCATAATGACAAATAAGAACTTAAAAAATTGATGTGGAATTCACGTGTTAATGCCGACTCTTCAAATGTTGAGGTGATTTTGGAGCCAGATTACGCCGCAATGTGGGTTGGCTCCCAGAATGCAACATGACACGTGTCAGCTTTCAAAATGCCATTCCGCCGTTTTGAAATACGTCACGAATAAATAAGGTTACTTGATGTTGCATTCTGGGAGTCAATCCTCCTTGGATCACAAACATGGCGATTCATGAAAACATTAGTCCGATTTGGTAGGGATTTATCCATCATTTGCAGGTATGAGGCTTTGGATTCATTTATTGTGCTACTTAAAGTGGATGGGAATTATTTTTCTACCACTTGGGAGAGTTTGATACATGAAACTTAGAATTTAGCTCATTGTGACAACTTTTGAGGGTTGAGATTTATTTTTGTCCCCTACTTTACATGTGTTTTTCAAGGTCATTTCTGGTGTGGGGAAATTGAAATCAAATAAGACCAAAGATGACACAAAAACAACATCAAGGGAACAATGCATGAAGATGATCCCGACGAAATCAAATGACGCTGATTTCTATAATTATGTCAATAAAAGAATCCTATGGCAAAATTATTTCTAAAAATTAAAATTGAAAAAAATCACTTACATTTTGTAGTAAAGAGAACCGATGAAATAGCCTATTCCTGCACAAATCATTAGTCTACGAATTTTGTAGTACTTTGTACCTCTAGTAACAATCTTTTTAGGATCAAATTCACGGCCCATAGTGTTGTTTTGACCAAAACGAACAAGCTAAGAAATTTTCTCCATTTATGAAATTTACCGGAAATAAATTTTGATTGGCTCAAAAGTAGGCGCGAATCTTGAAAATTACAAGGGTAGTAAACGTTGAACTTCGCACACAGGGAAAGCGATGAGCTGATGATGATCCAAGTTACATTTTATGACACTCATTCACTTGTTCATCTTAACAGTAGAAACGCCAACGTGCATTGTGAAATTATCATGTCAGATCATTATAATAGCTCACTTGGAGTCGCTTCAAGCATATTTCGATGAAATCCCGGCTGTTGACTCCCAAAGTCCGATTGAGTAGGCCTAGGTTACGTTTTGAAACTGAGACCCGGCGGAAGCGAGCAGTCCCATTCTTTCACCGGTCTTCATCGGACTTTGATGATCCAATCACCATATATCTTCATGGTAACAGCAGGGGGTAGAAACGCGTCCTGAGTATTTTCGTCTCGTACGAACTACGAACCGAGATACTGGACGCAGACCTCCATTTTTGATCCAGAGAGAGGTAATGATGTAAGTGTGATTTTACTCGGTAGCCTGTGATCGTTTTACAGTGTTTCCTTATCTAGATGACAGTCGTTCATCTAGATTATTTGTAATGTGGGGTAAAAGCACGGAAATACTTTGATTTTTTCCCCAGGACACGAATCGAATCAGATTTCTTTTTATTTACCATTTTTCATTGACGAGATTTGTAATTTTCTTGTGTATAGAATAAGAATACAGCTTCCAGTCGGCACATTTTAGCTTTGGAATGATCGAAAAGAGAAAAAATACGAAATTTAAGAAATACCGGACGAAATGAAAATGTACTGGACGCAAAAAGTTAAAAATTGTTTTTAACGCCGTCAAAAAACGATTTCATACGCGGTAAAAATTACTTTAACGCCGCCAAAAATTATTTTATACGCCGTCAAAAATATGTTTTATGCGTCAAAAACGATTTTATACGTCCTTATTTTTAACCACAGGTAAAAAAGCATTTTGAACGGCGTCAAAAATGATTTTGAACGCGTCAAGAATTGTAATGTGACACGTAAATTATGAACAAACGAACGTGTATGTTCGAACATGGGCTTCAAGTTGGAAGCCCATGGTTCGACTTACCCGGACTGATTGATATAAATCCAAAACCCTATTTTTCTCTGTTAATGTATGTCACATTTATCATTTATATTGCCAGACGCATTTGGTTGTATGGAAGACTACAACTGTCCCGGGAATTTGATATACATCAAGTTTTCATTGTTCGTTTTTTCGCAAATGATTAACAATGTACGTTAGAAGGGATAAAATGAAAAATGGCTGATAGTGAAATTACTAAAATCGGGCAACGGTAAACAACGTACTTGGTGTCATCCAGTTGGGTATACAGGGAATAGTTCAAAATATTTTTAACGGCGTTTTGATGGCGTTTTGATGGCGTACAAAGTTGTTTTAACGGCGTTAAAATTATTCTTTACGGCGTATACAATCGTTTTTGACGCCGTTCAAAATGAATTTTAGCGCCCTACATAATTATTTCTGACGCCGTAAAAATCAATTTTGGCGGCGTACAAAATCGTTTTTAACGGCGTTAAAAGTAATTCTTTACGGCGTATACAATCGTTTTTACGGCGTTAAAAGTATGACGATACATTGGTCCAAATGGCCAGTCATACTGAACAGAGACCTTCATGCATAGAGCAACAGGACACTATAGGACCCGACAGGACGCCATCGGACCCGCCCGCAGGACTCCATTGGACTCAAGGGAACCTGTCAGTATAAATGGGTCTTTACGTGTAATTTTAAAATTTTCTCAAGTGTCATTGTGAGCTTGAAGTGATTCATCAATTTCAACATTATCCATTGAGACATCAATATTAATCTACATTTTGATCAAGATGCATTTATTAAACTTAATGAGATTGATCTTTTAATAAAGAAAATCACTGCACACCAATGCTATGTTTTGACATTATATCATATTTGTTATAAGAAGCCTGTTTTCAAAAAATGAATCGTCCTTTAGTGTGTGTGTGTGTGTGTAAGCTGAGACCATCATAAACGTGTAGGACCTAAGCCATATATGATCAGTACTGTTTTTGACCAAACAGGAAAGGTGATGACGTGCAGTCAGTCATAAAAGTTACACTGTATGTCAACACAAACTACCAGACATGCATACTGTTTTACTATTTACTTGTATATTTAAAATGTTATTTAAATGGAGTCAAGTTGAGGTTCTTGAAAACAAACATGATCAATCAATGTTCTTTAAAGTCCATTTGTACTTTTGATCAATCAAATTCATTACAAACTTAATTTGTACTTAGAGTTTATATTATTTACTGGTCGGGATTTAATATGGGTTTTATTACGAGGGACAATATGATGTTTACCGAGGGCCCGGAGAGCCAGAGGGAAATATCATATTGTCACGAGGCATAAAGCCATATTTAATTCCGACCAGTAAGCTTTTTTACCCCATGATATTCATGACATAAAATCCTTAGTTCAATTTTTGTGTGAAACAAAACTAGGCTATATCTTTAGTCTACAAAATATGACTTAACTTTATGAAATTTTGAAATACAAGAATTTTGTTTTATGACATAAACACATCAACATAAAAAAGTAACAATATGTTCATCGCAGGGCATTCACTTATTGTATTTTCAATTTTGATTGGAAAATATGACTTAAGAACATTATTATAGCACGCTATATCGATCCAACCTGAACGTAATAGGTAGCCTTTTTGGCAAACTTTATTCCCGGGAGGTGAATATCATTTTCCTGTTCGGGATTGGGAGGTGAATACGATTTTCACGAGCGGGATTGGGCGGTACAATACGTATATTGACTGGTTTAATGAACCTACGTTGACAGTGTTAACAAACAATGGTGAGCATATTTCAAATAATGATTTTTCTATAGATTACAAACCATCGCGATATACCCAACCATCATTTCATCAAAGTGTTATTACCTCGTTGCTGTATCTCATTCATCTCATAAGAAATCTTTTCTTTTGCTTTTTAGAGAACTTAAAGAACATCGTAACCTACGTGTCTACTAGCTCGCAACTATGACTTGCATTTTCACCAGCTCTTTCGATCGACGGAGACAACCTCCATTAAATAATATATAGCACTTAGGATGACAGATTCAATCTTAAAATTTAGCCTTGATATCAAATAAAAATATTTGATTGGAGTTTGATTTAAAGTGATCCAGGGGTGCGCGTGCCTTCAAAGTAGGCGTAGGCCTAACACATCGTTGGATCGATTATACTATACACACCTCTGTAGGATCAGCATCAACATGGATGCCCTGAACGGATTAAGACTTTTGTTATGTTTTACTTTAGCAAAGACTACATACTCACAAAGTACAACTGACGATAACTATAAGTTAATTTGGGAGGAGAACTTTGATAGTCCTACAAAGACGGGTGCCGTGGATCGAACCAAATGGGAACACGAAACGACAGCCTGGGGTGGAGGGGTAAGCCACTTGTTATGAAAATTGTACTTTTGGTCTCGTTATATAGCATGAAAATTCTTACACTCCATTCCATAAGTTTGGTAACCAAAAGTTTTCATTTTGATATCGTGTACTGTTTAAGCCTTATATTGTTTGGATCTTTATATTGTTCCTTTTTAATACTCTAGTAGACCTGCCAACCTAAAATGAAAAAAATTGCGGGAGAATTTTCAAAAGTTGCGGTACTTTTACTGGAGGGCTCTGGAGATTTTTCCAAATCTAGTAGTTTTGAAAAAACGGGAGTTTTTACAGTAGAATTTGTTTTTGTAACTCAAGGGCTTATCTAATACCCGGGGCTTTGTGTGTATTTTGAGTGTAATTTGTGTAGACCTTAACGTATGTGTACCTTTTTCTGTAGAACTGTGAGTTCCAAGTTTACACTCCTGATACAACAAATACCTACGTGAAAGATGGCACCTTGTTCATCAAACCCGTGAGTAATATATACTATTAATATTATTACATCATTGCTAGAAGTCGTGTGATTTGATTGGCTGATTCAATACCATGTGATCATGAATACCATAGCGTATTTAACAGCTCCCACAATTGTTGGATTATACAAGACGTATATTGCCCCGCGTATTGCCCACCCGGGAATTCTGACTGAGAACTGCACTGGACTAAAATAGAAGTATACTATACTATACGACTATACTTTTAAGTAATCGTGTTAACAGGATATATGTATTGATTAAAATAAGTGTTCACAGGTTAAAAAAAATTCTATATCTTTGAAATGTGATCGTAGAGAATGTCTAGCAATAATATAATAAAACAAATATTTCATTCTATGTTCGGACAATACCCGTTTGCAACATGAATTTCCCTGGCCAAAAATTGTTTCAAAATTATGCAGGTTTAAATTCACCATTCTGAGTACTCTTAAGTGATTTTGGGCCAAAATGATCAAATGCGAACACCCCTTGAAATTTTTTAACACATGAGACCCCCCCCCCAATTGGCCAAAGTACGGGCAGGCAATTACTTGCACATGAGTCAATTTCGCCCCTTTAAAAGTCAATTACATACTTCCTGGAGGAGTCCGTTGCAATATACCTATACGCGCTAACTTTTGATGTGCGAAATATTCTTATCTCCGCGTTGGAGAGTTCAGTTTCGTGGTACAACTTTCTCAACATCCGGGCACTTTCCCATTGGAATAACATTGGCTGTGTTTTTCAATGACGCATTGTGACTTTATTAGAGGTTTATCATGAATTATATTTGCACATACGATAGATATGATCATTATAAAGACATTTGACAAGTTTTAAAAAAATATATTCACCAGAATCGTCAAAATCCTAAGTTTAAAATTCAAGTGACGTCACAGATTTCCCAGAAGTTGCTCAGTTCCCGGAACTTGCTCAGACGCCATAGAAAAAATAATCGAAGCAAAATGAATTTCCATCTTCTTTTCTAATTATTGTCTGGATTATAGAATATTATTATACATATGTACTAATGTTGGATCGGGATAATGCCCATGACGTTGTGTTTTGCGAACCAATAGAAAATTGTCCATGTTATCGTGTTGCATTGCGGGAAATATTTATGTTAATGACCAGTAATTTCCTAACGCGAATAGGACTATTAATCTCTCATTTCTTTGAGAAAGTCGAACGAATGCAAAGGGTAATCAAATTAAGTATCTATTTCCCCTAACGAGAGCCTACTAATGTCCAGTGTACTAGATTCTGACACTTTTTGAAGAAACCCTCTACAATATTTCAAATGGATTTCGTACTTCTAGAATGTGTCTTGATGAAGTCTTATCTTGGTCCATAAGTTCTGCCTCAAAGAGTTGCATTGTTTCAAAGGCAATAATATCTCGTTAAGAGGAAAGGTATCGATATGGTGAACTGAATTCAACAATGTTTTTCTCTTAAACCAATTATTGAAATCATTCTGTAAAAAACATGGTCCTTTTTGTAATGTTGACTGATTCGCAACAATTTAACGCAAAAATAATTTATATATATTTTATATAACTGTTTTTGTCAACATTTTTTGTTTTTAGTGCAATTGTTTTTTGTTCCTTTCTACCAATTTTTGAGAATGAAACAAAATGTCTTTCCGAACCTCGTTGGAACAAAGCATATACAACATTTTCTTAGACTTCTCAATGTTTCAGTTATACAAAGGAAATTTTGGTTGATTTTAGAAAAAGTATGCAAAATCTTAAAACAAAACCCCCAAAATAGATAAAAATTAAGATAAACCTTTTATTTCATTAACAAGATACTTTTTTTAAAATCAACCAAAACTTTCCTTTGTACAATTACAATATTGAGTGACCTTAACACATTGTGTTCATGTCGTTTTGTTCCAATGAGGTTCGGATAGATGTTTCATTTTAATCCGAATATATTATACCAAGAACAAAAGAAGTGTCTGGTGTGTTTTCTAAAACGATATAGAGAAAAGGATATATCTATATTTCAAATTATAGCGTTACCATCAAAAAATGACCAATAAATTGACGATGTGTAAAATTTTTAGAATGTTTTGATGGCTGGTTTAAGAGAAACGCGTGTTCAAAAAGTTCACCATATCGATACCACTCCTTTAATATGGTCACCGCATTAAGTCGAAATATCATTTTCTTTCAGAGTAAGTCTAAAATTATTGCATCTATTTGGTTCATATTTTTTGTTGGTAAGCTAACAATAATTTCTAGATGGATGATAAAGGAATCAATTTGATGCATTATTCAGTATACTTTGAGACACCATGAGTTTGTACCATTCAAATAATGCAACATGAGCTCGTCTCATTAACATACCAACAATAAGTCAAATAGCGCTTCATTTATTACTTCATTTCCAGTCAGATCCGTTCATTTTGTTGGAGTACTAGGTGTGTTGAAGAACCCTGTATAATTGATAATACACTCCCCTCCATAAGTTTGGCAACCTTTTTTCCCCCATTGAACTACGTGTTAAAGTCTCTTTACCTTTGAATTTTTATTTACTTGACCTGCGATGAAAATACTTATACTATTGATGGAAACGTAACTTGACTCTAATTCCAATACCTCAAAATTTTCTTAATTTTTTTCCTCAATTACAATAGGTCGAAAATTGATGATAAAGGAGCACGTAGGTTATCGCAAACAATTTCAAACGATTCTAACTTGAATTATGAATATTTTCTGATCATGAACATGGGTGTATCTTTTAGATCCATTCATTATCTTCAAGAAAAGTATATCTAATGATAATTTAGTTAATCAGACCTAAGTGATATTGAAGGGGCAATGGACCAATCAACATACTTTTTCAAAAATGTTGACCTAATTTTCACCAAAAATGCAACCTATTATTATATTGTTGAATGCATGATTAGAATGTGCTTTGAGACATGTTCGATTTCCTCAAAGGAAAATTTGATTGCTCCAGGGACTTAAAAGATATTCAATTTGGATGACCAAAATGAACTGAAACCAATGGATAGCATGAGATTTTTCAATGGAGAAATAACATGGGGAACACTTATCTTAATGCAATTAAGTTTTTCTTTCAAGGACTATTTGGTACATCAAAATAAAGAATAGTAATGCATTAAACATTGTAAAAAATGATTGCGTTTTTGGTGAAAATGGGGTCAACATCTTTGAAAAAGTGTGTTGATGGGTTAATTGCTAGTTAAATATCTCCGAGTTTGTTTGAATTTATTATTACTGTGCATAATTTTCTTTGAGATAATGAATTGATCTAAAAGTTAAACTTGTCTTCATTGTCAGAAAATAGTCATAATCCAAGATATAGCCTTCTGAAATTGCTTGCGATAACCCACGTGCTCCTTTGATGAATTTTTGAAAATCGACATTCCCATGTTAACCAATGACAAAATGGTAGGTTTGCCGCAAGTCATATGACAGAATATCCATCCATCCGAGTCCTTGCAAAAAATACGAGTTAGGCAGGCAATTGAATCTGCTAACTTTATTTAACAAAAAATTGATATGTTTCTTCAGGTTCAACAAAGTTATATATAGGGCTTTAAAGTCAAAATTGTTTTTCAAAAAACCTCTCCCATTGAAATAACACAGGAGGCGAAAAATTATTTTCAAAAATGACTTTGAAGCGCTGTAACTTTAATATTCATCAAATAAACTAAACACTAAAGTGTTCAAAAATGTAAGACAATTCAATTTTCTATATAAAAATATTTTTTGCTGAATCTTTTACTGAAAAGATATCCTGATTTCTGATTTGCCCCGAACCCTCCATTTCCCATTGGATTACATGGGAATGACGATTTTCAAAAATTCATCAAATTTATCATCAATTTTCGACCTATTGTAATTGAGGAAAAAAATTTAGAAAATTTGGAGGTATTGGAAATAAAGTCAAGTTACGTTTCCATCAATAGTTTAAGATATTCAATCGCCGGTTAAGTAAATAAAAATTCAAACGTAAGGAGGCTTTAACACGTAGTTCAATGGGGAAAAAAGGTTGCCAAACTTATGGGGGGAGTGTATGTATAAAATTGTAATGAACCTTGATAGCAAGTCGCTACTACAGTCTCAGCTGTAGAGAAGATTCCTGAGTTCGACTCCCCAACGGGGCATTGAATTTAGCACACTTCCTTTCATGTCCAGTATCTAGCTCATAGATCCCCGGACGGACGTGCCCCCAGGTCGTTACAAAATGACCCAGAAGTCAGAATACTGAATCTATATATTCATGTAGTCATACGACTGGACCACGTATTAAACCCCGTTTTAGACTAAACATCAAAAGGATTCCATCATAACTAAATAGAGAGTCTTCTAAAACTAAAGGGCGGGGCATTTTTAAGTCTGCATAATTTTGAACTCTTGCTCAGGGTTTTGCCCTAACCCCCCCCCCCCCCAATGAACCCCTGGTTACGTGCCTGGGTGTAATTTATATGGTGATTTATTGCAGACACTCACGGTGAATAACACCAACCCGCTGACCAACCAACCTTTTGGGAAGGATTTCTTAACAACTGGAGACCTTGACCTTAATGGTGAATATTTTTGGCTCTTTCAATCTACTTCTTTGGTGCTTCAAATATCTGTCCCCCCGGATCGGATCCCCCAGTGCTGTAAGCCCCCAAAGGCGTGCTATACTGATAAATACAACACCCCCACGTCTTTTTACCCAAACCATTTTTGAGCACCCTGTAGACCTCCATCTTGATGTGTTCATACCTTGGAATATCAGGCTGATATTTCTGCCCAAAACCCTATTAATTTGTCATAGATTGAGGATTCTGATGAATGAGATATTGAACAAATATTTCACTCTATTGAGGTGAATACCTGTACATCTTTCACAAGTGATATTCCACGAAGCCCGAAGGGCAAGTGGAATATCACCTTGTGAAAGTGCTACAGGTATTCACCGAAAATAGAGTGAAATGTTTGTTTTATTATATCACTGTCTAGCTAAACATCCCTAATATTATTAAGTCATAGGTTAACATTGAAATACATTGAATCTACTCGGTTCGTCTGCCATTTTGACTTACACTGAACTAAATCATTTACACTGAACGAAAACAAATTCTTTGAAAATTCCCGGGAGCGTGGGATATCGCTAGATATCTCACGGTTGTCTTATCTGATTAGCATTGCCATTGAATATCGCCAGATATCCCACGACATGTGACCCGGTTTTGACCAATCATACTGTCGCTAGCTAGATAGTGATATAATAACATCTTATATCTAACCTACATTATGCCAATTCTTTTGTATTAGGTAAATAGAAGCTGATCACTCAACCTCATTAGTAGTCAATCGAGGGCAGTTAAATATGGTTTAAAAGGAGTCTGACCAATGAGATCCTAGAGTAAAACAAACAAATCATCTGATTGTGCACTGGTTTTAACGTGCACCAATCAGATGGTTTGTTTGTTTTACGGATAAAAAAGTTGTCCAGTGATACCAGTTTGATTGAAAATCAAACAACGAGCATGGTAGACCTCACGCCCAACGCATTTTTACCCAAAGCCGATATGTGATGCCTTTTTTAAAATTACCAGATTGTTTTGATCAAGCTCCCCATTTTTAAACTTTCAGACGAAGTTAAACGTGTAGGTTTTTTAATGGTCCATGTACCGAATGTCGAAATAATTCTTCCCTCCCTTTGTGGACACAAACTGAATAAGAGATCTGAAGGGTCTGACAAATTACTAAACTTTAGATGTTTCCAGCCATGTATGGAGCCTGCACGATGTCTGATAATTGGGGCTGCCGTAGAGAAGGCAAATACGGCCTCATTCCCCCTATTATGTCCGGTAGGATACGAACGAAGGGAAGATTTGCTTTCAAATATGGACGCCTGGAGGTTGTGGCCAAAATGCCCGTTGGTGATTGGATGTGGCCAGGTTTGTGAAGAACTATCAATGGCATCCTATAGAATCATTACACGCTATGCATGGTGTAATCTAAACAAACACTAGAGCTGAACGGCTATTTATGTGAGAAAGCTACATGTATTTGTATATGCATCACGTCTTTATAACAATATGGATGAACTTCCGTCGGAAGAAATTCTTTTTTTCATCATTTTCACCATGAACGAGATCGATTTGTATCCAAATATTTTACCCGTATGTTGATAGTAACATCCGGTTACTGAAAGGCGAATCAGGCACGAATATCCAAGGGCCCCGATAATCGGGTGATTTCTCCCTTCAGCAACAAGGACATCTATACGTAACCGAGCAATTATGCAATTCACCAGATAATGTCCTGGTACCCAGCGTGCAGAGTCTAGTTAAACTACAGTTAAACTGAAGACGAAGCTCTCTTTTAAGAAGTGAAGTCAAACGAATGCAAAGGGTAATGTCCTGGTCACTGAAGTGAGGAATATTCTCATTTGATTATTAGAGCTGCTGGATATATTTGCTAGGGTCTAAATAACCAACCTTTCAGTGACGGCGGGATGTTACGATTAACATACGGGTAAAAGATACAAATTGACCTCTTACCTGGTGAAAATGAAAATTTTCTCCTACGGAAGTTCATCCATTTTGTTAACAGGTTGGGAACAGTGATATGGGCGATTGAAACGTATACGTTGTCGTTTCGTTTTTATATACAAGCTTAAACTCTCTATTACTTAACTCTAATTTGACCATCAAACTTTGTTTTTATTGTTTTAGTCAATGTTGTTTGATAATTCCAGCAATTTGGTTATTACCCGAAGGTAACATTTACGGCGGGTGGCCAAGATCTGGGGAAATAGACCTCGTAGAAACAAGAGGTAATGTAACAGAAAATATTTCCATCGAGCTTCTTTTGTTTATCCCAGAATGAATTAACTTAGGCTACATTTACATTCTAAAATCTTACTCCTCCTATGTACTAGGTGAATACGATTAGGCTAGAGACTTAAAAATGTTAAAACCAATCTTGAAAAAAAATCATGCTAAATGTTTTCTAGTATATAATCCTTATTTTATTTTCTCAAAAGATATTTGAGATATATGCTCAAATAAAAAATTATCGAAGAGTTGAGACGCTCAAACGTCAAAATTCAATTGCAATTTGGGATGATCTATAAAGGAACAAAATTAAAGAATCTTGAAATAAAGTCGAATTTATGAGACTTTCCGAAACAATGCAAGACATTGAAGGATGAGCGCAAAAAGTTTGTAAAAATGTGTCAACTTTTCTTTATCCCTGCCCTAGAGATCGAATCGCATATTTGTAGGCCTCATTTGCTCCCATTTTACCAACAGGCAATCGTGACCTTAAGTACACTGAAAGCGGAAATTACGCTGGTATACAAGACATTGGGTCAACGTTACACTGGGGGCCTGTCTGGAATGTCAATCACTACCACCTCACTACTGGACACCAGTAAGTATACGATCAAAGTGCTTCTAGTGAGTTAAAAATCAATGTACTCTTGAACGAGCGTAGTTAAAAATGAGTGTAAAATCAAAGCATATTCTACGTATGTTTTATCATATGAGTAAGGTATAGGCCTAGTCTAGTAAGTATACGATCAAAGTGCATTCTAGTGATTCAAAAATCAAAGTGTATTCTCATGAGTGTCGAATCAAAGTGTATTCTTGCGAGTGTAAGATCAAATTGCATTCTAGTGAGTGTAAATCAAAGTATATCCTAGGGGATGTAAGATCAAATTGCATTCTAGTGAGTGTAAAATCAAAGTGTATTTTAGGGAATGTAAGTTCAAATTGCATTCTACTGAGTGTAAATCAGAGTGTATTTTAGGGGATGTAAGATCAAATTGCATTCTAGTGAGTGTAAAATCAAAGTGTATTTTAGGGAATGTAAGATCAAATTGCATTCTAGTGAGTGTAAAATCAAAGTGTATTTTAGGGAATGTAAGATCAAATTGCATTCTAGTGAGTGTAAAATCAAAGTGTATTTTAGGGAATGTAAGATCAAATTGCATTCTAGTGAGTGTAAATCAAAGTGTATTTTAGGGAATGTACAATCAAATTGCATTCTAATGAGTGTAAGATGAAAGTGCTTTTTAGTAAGTGCATGTTAGTATTAGGTCAACGTTTATTCTACAAGAGTAGTGAGAGTAAAACCAAAGTCTCTAGTAAAAATCAGAGTGTATTCCACTGAGTGTAAAATCAGAGTGTATTCTTCAAAGTATAAAATCATAGTGTATATGAGATCAAATATTATCATAAGATCAAATTGTATTATCGTGAGTATAATCGTGTAAGTGTAACACTATAATTTGTTTATTAGAATTTCGATGAACGACGTTTTCATTGAAAAATCGGCCAACAATACTTCTAATCATTTTGGGTATTTCCCCTCTCTGGCCTAAAGTAATGGACGATTTGATTAAAACAGACGTACCAGTAACATGATTGTGATGATAGTATTGTACTTGAACATGATATCATTTTTGGTTTCTTGCAGCGAGAATGTGACGTCAAATTACGGTGATCACTTCCACACATACTTGCTGGACTGGGATGAATTTGGACTCAGGTAATATACTCAAATAAAGTGTACTTACTGAACTGTGCTAAAAGCCTCAGGTCCTTTACTTTGCTCTCTGGATTGTGGATAGAGGTTTCCGAGGTGTACTTTACTCACTTAATGCACTTAATTAGCCGTTTTGGAGAGGATTTGATCCGAGGAAAAAATATACAGAGTGGTACAATATTTTTCCAATATTTTTTATTTGTCGACAACTTTTTCAAAAAGTATGCAAAAATGTACAAGGAGCAGAAATCAATTCTGTTAATCCAAAAAATGGGCCTTCAACACACACTAGGGGTCTATTAAAAAATATACCGATTTCAGGACAATTTCACACAGATATTGGTCATAGCTCACATAATGACATCTTATTCAGTGAGTCAAAGAGACACGTTATGCATATTTCTGATATAAATTGAAACACTGAGAATGTATTGAGGCCAGGGCGGAAGATTAAATAGACTGTTTCCACATCAATAAAGACGGAACTAGTAGGTCAAATTCTGGGTGAAAATGACGTTCTCTTTTTTATCAGAGAGAATGGGTACTTTTTAATCTGGGGCTTGTTCGAACTTACGATTCGAATTCTGAGGAAACAATTGTCTGATTTTTGACGGAGCGATGACTTGCGACCAAAACGGTTCCGAAAACGCACCCATGAGTCTTAGGCCTTTCACGACGATAGGTTCTTTTTGGAACCATTACTTTTATTCATATGTATCAATAAAAGGATGATATCTCTAGAATTCTATTCCATATTTCTACACAAAGTATAGGTCCCAGGGTATAGGTAGTTTTCCTTAAAAACGCTCTTACTACTCCGTCACCAGGCCAACATTTTCCTCTATATTCATTTCGGGAAAGGGTTAAAGGAAAAAAAACATTATACTGATCTTAATTATCACAAATAAGATCTTGGAATATCAATTTCCTTGTACAAGTGATTTTCCCAAATCACCCTTTTTCTTGATGTTAAATCAGTTTATTGTCGTTCATTTTATTAATTTGTCTTACTTCTAACATTCTACTTTTCGTCTTTATGGCCTACCCTGTTCTTATACCAACACATGACCTTACCAAAATTAACAATATAAAGAATATAATGACTAAACATTAGTTTGATTTAAGGTCATGCATTTCCCGGAATGTTGTTTAGAATGATTGAATTGATGTGTTTTACTAGATTCTACATCGACGGACACGAGATAGCCAAATATCCAGATCCATTAATCAACGATGATCCCGATTGGACAGGCTGGTGGGATTTTGGTGCTCCCTGGGAAAATAATGAAACAAACCCGTGGGCTGATGAGTCCAAAATGACTCCTTTTGACCAAAAGGTAAGATGATATTTCCAATTTATTTCTTAAAAGGCGTGCCCCTTTTGAGAAAAAATGTGCGTCTAGTATTTGAATGAAATGAATCCGTCTGACTCTAGTGATATCCTGTACTTTTCAGTTCCACATTGTGATGAACGTTGCAGTAGGTAGTACCAACGGTTTCATGCCAGACGCTTCAGCAGCAACAAATGGTGGAGCTGCCAAACCCTACAATAACTCAGATCCAGACGCCATTGTTAAATTCTGGAACGCCAGAGATGAATGGTATCCAACATGGACAGCGGAGGGCGACAATGCAGCAATGCAGGTCAAATCTCTCAAGGTGTACCAGCACCAAATACAAACCTGTAATGTGTCTGTTGGGACTAGCGTTAGAATAACAGTCATGCTTTGGGCTGTATTATTATTGAATTTTGTTTGAACTAGTTATTGATCTAGTTTGAAATACTAAACGATCCAATGAGAGATTCGAATTCGGACAGGAAACTGATACCTTCTTTTTCTAAGGAGGGCAAATCCTGAAACAAATTATATGTCACTTTTCCGCTCAGCTGTTACACATTTAGTACACTAACATGTATCCGATTTTCGGGGTGTCTTTTCATGTCAATGTAAAACACTGTATTTGAAACATTTGAAATAAAGTGAATTGAATTGAAAAATAATTGCTATTTTCATTATATTTTTGGCTGGTGCGTGAATTAAGTTCTCAAATTATCTAGTACATTTTAAACTATTTTCGATCATTACTACAGCAGTAGTTAATCCACTGGAGAAACATACTTGATATTTGCAATTTTGGATAAGATATGATCATATACTACTATATACTATAGTCTTTAAGACCTGTTACGTTTTATTTCTTACTGTTTTACTAAGTTAATATAATTCATCTTAACAATTGAATGCGTGTATTTAATGGCTATTATTTGTGAAAGTAGTTTTTAACCTTTATTTATTACCCCACTCTGGTTAAAAGTGGTTTTGAAATATATGTGGAATCTTATTTTACAATATAATCAATGTCAATAGCTCTTCGCTGTTAAAATGCGATGCTTTAGAAAAGATGACCTCCAATTGATTGATTGGAGAGTTTTTTAAATACTATTTGCAAACGTTTCAATTAGTATTTTGCAGACCGAGTGTTCATTTTTTGGTCAATGCCCTATAACAGAGTGTCATAAAAGTGCAATTCTCGATTTGAAATTGAATATTCTCCTTAACAAAACAAGTCAATCCATCATGATTTACTGTGTTATTCTTAAAATAGGGTAGTTTGGATTCACAAGTTGCCTTTAAAGTTCCTGTTCATATTTTCGCAGCATGTTCAAATCAGTTTTACTAAAAAATGCGTCGGCCGGGAATCGAACCCGGATCTAATGCTTGGAAGGCATCAATGCTAACCTTTACACCACCGACGCCACTGATAGTTAAATGTAGCATAATTATTTTATCTAACATTCAAGCAGGGCTCCGTTAATTATTTTCAAACTTTACATTTTTAGTCCAGACACATGGGGAGAAATCATCGAATAATTAGTGCAAAACTGACAAAATGTAATTACTTGAGCAAAATAGAGCCACTAGATAGAGCCAGCCAGGCCCGTAAGACACTTTTCTCCAAGGGGGTGCGGTTTTTATTAAAGAGAATATAAAAAATTTTGCCGCGTAAATCAAATCGCGTAAGTCAGAGGGGGGGGGGGTGTCGGTTACTCCTTATATTGGTGATTTCTGGCACTTTTAAAGTGTTTAGAATTAACAAATGCAACTTCCAAACGTTCCTATTGATTTGTGGGGAATGTGAGGAGTGGTCCACTCCCCCTAGAAAATTTTACAGTTTTGAGATGCTATTTGGTGCTTTCTGGTTGTCCCCCAGAAACATTGACCGTATCAGGGTGCTATTTGATGATGTCTGGGCACTTAAAAAATGTCTGGGACAACACATGAAATTCAGAATATTTTCTTTTATTTAGCGGGGGATGTGAGGGGTGGCTAACTCTCCTAGAAAATTTTACAATTTAAAGATGATATTTGGTGCTTCTGGGCACTTTTAAAGGGTATTAGTCAATAGAAACATTGAAAAACAATCACAATTTTTTTCAAATTTTGGGGGTGTCAAAGGAGGCAGAGGGAGGGGTGCCAGAGGGGGAGGTGGGGTTCGGGTGCCAGAGGGGGAGCAAGTGTTTTTCCCCCATATCTGTCCCCCAGAAACATTTACAATATCAAGGTGCTATTTGATGAAGTCTGGGTACTTTAAAAGTGGCTGTTCCTAAAGGGGCTATTTTCCAAGAAAATTTTACAATTTTAAGATGGTATTTGGTGCTTTCTGGGCACTTTCAAAGTGTATGAGTCAATAAAAAATTTGAAAAATCTTAATTTCTTTTTCAATTTGTTTTTTTTTTGGGGGGGGGGTGTCAAGGGGGGGGGGGCTGCCAGAAGGGGAGGTGGAGTGGGGATGCCAGAGGGCGAGTAAGTGTTAGTCTCACAGAATCATTAACTATATCAAGGCTATCAAGGAGCTATTTGATGATGTCTTGGCAATTCAAAAGTCACATAAAACAAATTCAGAACTTTTCCATTGTTTTGTTTGGGGTGTGAGGGGTGGCCCACTCCCCCTAGAAAATTTTACAATTTTACGACGCTATTTGGTGCTTTCTGGCCATTTTAAAAGTGTATGAGTCAATTAAAGAATTTGAGAAAATCATAATTTTTATCCGATTCTTTTTTTTTGGGGGGGGGGGGGTCAAGGGGGGTGCCAGAGGGGGAGGTGGGGTAGCGATGCAAGTGCATGATGCAAGAGTGGGAGCAAGTGTTAGTCCCCCAAAAACACTAACTATATTAAGGAGCTATTTGATGATGTCTGGGCACTTTAAAAGTGTCTGAGACAAAACTCTAAAATAAATATAGAACTTTTCCATTGTTTTGTGGGGGGTGTGAGGGGTGGCCAATACCCCTAGAAAATTTTACAATTTTAAAATGCTATTTGGTGCTTTCTGGGTACTTTCAAAGTGTATGAGTCAATGAAAAAAAATTACAAAAAAAATATTTAAAAAAAAATGTTTTAAAAAAAAAATTCTAATTTTTTTTTTTGGGGGGGGGGTGACAAAGGGGGGGGGGGTGCGGTCGCACCCATCGCACCCCCCCCATCTGACGGCCCTGCCAGCTCAATTCATAGTGATTTTTAGATTACCTCTTCTACACTAAGGTTCCAATATACCGTTGGAAAGCTGTGCGTGTCAGCTTCGTGGCTATGTTAACATTTTTTCTTTGAAATCACCACATCCATGAAAACATTGCCAATTTTCTTTTTCCATTATAAATTTTTATTGATTGTTCATATAAAACATGCTTCTGTCCTCAGTTTATATGAAGGTGGTAGGGTATGTTAGAATGTATGGTTTAAGAATGCCTCTATGGGCTTTTATGTCTAAGAAACTATTCATTAGAATCACACATTATGCATGCTTGAAATGGAATTCTACATTAGAGTGAAATAAAAAAATGCTGTATGAGTAAATAGGTGTGGCAACAGAGGTCAAACGTCAAATATATGGATTGATGGATTAAACTTAACCTTAGAAGTGAATCACACATACCACTTGTTTAGATTGCGTGTAGTGCTCCTTTGGAATTAATTATACGTCCATTAATAAGTATGTTTATAAGGCCATATTTAAAAATATTTAAGTCAAAAGGGATACGATGATACTCATATTATTCTCATGTTAAGTCAACACACTTTTGCTGCAATCTAAATATTCTCAGGAGAAATTAATAGTAATTTGTATTCTATATTCCTAAATACCCCGATGTACGTATACACTATTTTCAAATATTAAATCTCATTTCTACCAAAAAGACAAATTCCGACGGATGTTGTAGCAAAATGGAGTTACTGCAATTAACCCTGTCTGCAAGGTTAATCGATTTTTTCAACAGTGTATTTTGGCAATTTTTTGGTGTCTCCGTTATTGTTTAGCTTGAGCCCGATATAAGACACTTTTTGGAGTAAACCAAAGGTGATTGTGGGTAGAGGGGCAAAGTTATGATATTTGGAACTTGATGCATGGACGTGTCGCAAAAAGGTCGCGCACGCATTGTTACACATTTTCGCTTTTTAACACCACAGAATGTGACGTTTTTTGATAAAGATGTTCACATATGGAAATCCTTTCGTCCTCCACATTTGCCTCTATATCTCAAAATGTTTAAGGCGAATAACTCTGATATCGTATATGTATTAACAATGGGATAGGAGCATCATAAAACACGAATCAATTGATATTTTAGGTGAAATAAATATACGTGTTGCTGTGCTTGAAAATAGGCGAATGGCGTAAATAAGCCCTATTTTAATGAATTTTGAAAACCTTTCGTCCTCCACTTTTCCACATACAACAAAAAACACATACTTTTGCGAACAAAATCAACTATTTATTAATAAACTACAGTTTAAGAGCAAAATAATCATGTATGATTTATTAAAAATTGATCTCGTATTTTTGGTTTAATGTACACCTGAAAAGTTGAAGGTAACAAAAAATGAGCAAAAAATGTCGCTGTCAACAGATTCTATTTTTCAAACTCTATGACGTCACAATATGGGACGCTTACTAAAATTCATCCTTTGAAATAAAACTTCCATCTTTCTCTATCAAGACGAAAAATAAGTGTAATAGTCGTATATTGTTTGAGTTATGAGCGTTTAAAGACGAAAAATAATTCAAAATGTGACGTGTCAACAGGGGATATTTGCCAGATGTTTTGGTAAAAAACTCTTTTTTAAAAAAGAACGCGCAAGAATCGTGGACGGAGTGTAGTTGATCTAAAAACTTCATCGAAACAGCTTTAAAATTATATATAACTTTAATTATGTCACCACCAAAAGTGGTGACATATTGTTATGGTCTCCGTTTTTTTGCGACGGCGGTTGGCGTCCGGCGGTTGGCGTCCGGCGTCTGTAACAATTTCTTACAACTTCCTATAACTTAACAAATACTGTTTAGACTGACTTCAATTTTTTTCTAAATCATCTACATGTTCTCAGAAGTTCAAATCTGACTTTAGATTTGACATTTGACCTTCAATGACCTTCTCAAGGTCAAAAAGGTCTTTTTTCAACTTGCTTCACATTGACTAAATTTTTTTTCAAAATCATCTACATGTTCTCAGAAATTCAAATCTGACTTTAGATTTGACTTTATATTTGACATTTGACCTTCAAATCTGACTTAAGATTTGACATTTGACCTTCAATGACCTTCTCAAGGTCAAAAAAGGTCAAAAAGGTCTGTTTTCAACTTGCTTCAAATTGACTAATTTTTTTTTTCAAAATTATCTACGTGTTCTCAGAAATTCAAATCTGACTTAAGATTTGACTTAAGATTTGACATTTGACCTTCAATGACCTTCTCAAGGTCAAAAAAGGTCAAAAAGGTCTGTTTTCAAGTTGCTTCAAATTGACTAAAAAAAATTTCAAAATCATCTACGTGTTCTCAGAAATTCAAATCTGACTTAAGATTTGACTTAAGATTTGACATTTGACCTTCAATGACCTTCTCAAAGTCAAAAAAGGTCAAAAAGGTCTTTTTTCAACTTGCTTCAAATTGACTAAATTTTTTTTCAAAATCATCTACATGTTCTCAGAAATTCAAATCTGACTTTAGATTTGACATTTGACCTTCAATGACCTTCTCAATGTCAAAAAAGGTCAAAAAGGTATTTTTTCATCTTGCTTCAAATTGACTAAATTTTTTTTTCAAAATCATCTACATGTTCTCAGAAATTCAAATATGACTTTAGATTTGACTTTAGATTTGACATTTGACCTTCAATGACCTTCTCAAGGTCAAAAAGGTCTTTTTTCAACTTGCTTCAAATTGACTAAAAAAAATTTCAAAATTATCTACGTGTTCTCAGAAATTCAAATCTGACTTTAGATTTAACTTAAGATTTGACATTTGACCTTCAATGACCTTCTCAAAGTAAAAAAAAAGGTCAATAAGGTCTTTTTTCAACTTGCTTCAAATTGACTAAATTTTTTTTTTCAAAATCATCTACATGTTCTCAGAAATTCAAATATGACTTTAGATTTGACTTTAGATTCGACATTTTACCTTCAATGACCTTCTCAAGGTCAAAAAGGTCTTTTTTCAACTTGCTTCAAATTGACTAAATTTTTTTTTTCAAAATCATCTACATGTTCTCAGAAATTCAAATATGACTTTAGATTTGACTTAAGATTTGACATTTGACCTTCAATGACCTTCTCAAAGTCAAAAAAGGTCAAAAGGTCTGTTTTCAACTTGCTTCAAATTCACCAAAAATTTTTTTCAAAATCATCTACATCTTTTCAGAAGTTCAAATTTGACTTTACAAGTTCTCAGAAGTTCAAATCTGACTTTAGATTTGACCTTTGACCTCCAATGACCTTCTCAAGGTCAAAAAGGTCTTTTTATAACTTGCTTCAAATTGACTAATTTTTTTTCAAAATCATCTACATGTTCTCAGAAGTTCAAATCTGACTTTAGATTTGACATTTGACCTTCAATGACCTTTTCAAGGTCAAAAAGGTCTTTTTTCAACTTGCTTCAAATTTGCTTAATTTTTTTTTCAAAATCATCTACATGTTCTCAGAAGTTCAAATCTGACTTTACATTTGACATTTGACCTTCAATGACGTTATCAATGTCAAAAAAAGTCAAAGAGGTATTTTTTCAACTTGCTTCAAATTGACGATTTTTTTTCAAAATCATCTACATGTTCTAAGAAGTTCAAATCTGACTTAAGATTTGTGTTCAACTAGTTTTAACTTGCTTCAGATTGAACAATTTCTTTTTTCAAAATCATCTACAAGATCCCAGAAGCTCAAATCTTCAAAAACCTTCTTAAGGTCAAAAGGTATTTTCCAACTTGCTTTAAATTGACCAAATTGTTTAAGTGGTGACATTTTGTCATGTCAATGCCTTGTTAGAATATTATCTTATAATCCGGGGAATCAAAGTTACATTCACGCGATACCCTTAAAAACAAATGCGCCACCTTTTTGCGACACGTCATGACAATACGATTGTAATACATAAAACAATGTTCATAAAAGAGTGTTTCATGGATGTAGCCTAAGATTGGTATGCCTGCATAGCTTCAGGGAGTGGATGGAGGGGGGGGGGATTCACAAGAAATCGTGTATTTGAAAAAACTAAACTCAGTACCCAAGTAAGAAACTGGATATTATATCTCTGGAGAATGAAAAATGGGAAAATTTGGAGTTATAAGAATAAATTCAAGTAGCATGTCAAGTAGCATGTCTTATCATGTCTTTATATACACGTTACTCCCCCACCCCCCCCCACCCATCCACCCCCCTTCCGTCCCCTTAATCATATTGATTTATTTCGATTTTTTGAATAACACATGGAAACTAACTTTAAAAAGTGAGCAATGTCATTAGTGTTGTGATAATAACGTCCCTTATACCTATTTATTACAGGTCGTGTAGACCATTGTTGCCTTATCTATAGCAAAAACATTGATAGATCTCATATCTTAGAAGCGTATCAGATAAAAAATACTAGAAGACCTAACATATTTTGCCATGCACTGCGCCTATTCATTTGGCAATTCAGTTGTAAATTTCTCTTGAAAAAATAAATCTTCCAATTTTGTTGAGTTTTCTTGCAGAAATCGCCTAATCCCCCTCCATCCATTTTGTACGATCACCAGGCGTGTATCCGAGGCTGCAAAGAGAGGGAACATGTCGATGAATATGATATTCTCGAGGGGAAAATTATTGTAACTCTTTGTTTTTATTTTATACCCCATACGAGTAAAGCAGAAACACAAAGGAAGTCTTTCAATTTCAGCATTTATGCTGACAGCTTCTTTTTCATTTGTTATTGGTTAACGGTATTTTGCCATTCAAACTCCTATAATCCTGTGCTAACAAGGAACATAAAAAGTATTATTGGCCGGCCACTTGGCATAATTGATTACTACTTTTCATCTTTCCAATCTACAAGAAGGGATTTGTTAGTAATTTCGGTAGTACTGTAATTAACAAAATTAACATTGTAATGATCTGTTCACGTTATTGTACACCTTAAAGTTAGTGTAATGTTTGGTGCCTGTTTTAACCTTTCAACACCCGTTTTTTATCTCCAATATTTCTAAAACAGTAATAAACGAATTCCCCCCCACACTCATGGCTGCTGGATCCAATACACTGGTGATCCACTCGATTACGCTGGTTACCAAAACGATTCGTTTTGGTAACAAAATGTCGGAACATCGAAGGTACGATTTTTCTTTTTTCTTTATTTCACACGTTGTAGGCAGAATTCCCACGACATTTCTAATACAAACGTATATCAGTATCATATGCTTAAGAAAATGTACATATTTGCGAACAAATAGTTCAGAAGACAACAGAATCGTCGATTTAATTCGTCACTTAAGTTACATAAACGGTTTTTTCGAAAAACGGTTAGATCTGCACTTTTAACCCAAACCGTTTATGTAACTTAAGTGACGAATTAAATCGACGATTCTGTTGTCTTCTGATCTATTTTTCGCAAACATGTACATTTTCTATGATATACTTTTGTGAGAAAAAACGTCGTGGGGATTCTGCCTACAACGCGTGATATAAGGAAAAAAGAAAAATCGTACCTTCGACGTTCCAACATTTTGTTACCAAAACGGTTCGTTTTGGTAACCAGCGTAATCGAGTGGATCACCAGTGCAATAAAGACCAAAACACAAACATCACAAACAGGACCCATTCAGCCAATTAAGGGGGAGGGGGTTCATTCGGTTGCCAAACGTAAGGAGGCGTTGTATAAGGTATATAACATGTACAATCACTTGTAAAACAATTCATGAAATAAAATCTTAATTTAACAATTGCAATATTATTTTTCACTATCTTAAGTATGCGATTATCAAAAAACATTTCACATAATTGTTTACATAAAAAGCACAATTAGATAAGAGGAAGCTACTAAGGACTTTTCTCTTATGAAATGTTCAAAGGCGGAGAATATAGATTACTATTTATTCACCCTGATTCATTCAACTATTTTGATATTTCAATCCAATCCTTAAAGGCCCCGTGTAAATGATATGATTTTGAAACAAAATTGTAGATTTTTAGATCATCAAATACAACACTTAAACTGTAAAACACATTATTTTCTTTACTCAATTGAATAAATCAGGCAAAAGTTATTTTATTTCAGCCAATATTATGTAAATGTAAACTTTTAAAACATTTTTGAAAATTTGTGAAGTCACGGGGATATGCTATGGCATAACACTTTCTTCGAAAATTGTCACTTTTCTTACTTCTTAAATATTTGCGAACAATTCGATTAATTGAGAACTAGAATTTTGCTTATTCTGAACCACTTTTCTTGCTTATTTTTCTACCAATTTTCTTAGTTTTTTAAAACAAAATAGGATGTGTGTTATGCGTTTGTGTAAATTATTGCTTAACGATGTATATGGAGGACAACTACAATTTTATTTGAAATAAATTGACGACAAAAAGTCCTTCAAGTTCAAAATCAACTTTTTGAAATCAAATTGAAAAATTTCACACACCACATTTTGATAACATGGGGTAAAACCATAATATAAGTCAATTTGTGGATTAAATTTGAATGGGGCATTTAAGTTGAGAATTAGAATTGCAATCTCCCAAATGCAGTGCTCGAGGCATCATCCACTCTGAGGAAGGGAACTAGCCAGACTGCAAGGTTCTAATTTCAGTTGGCTGCGTTGTTTTGCATTAAAATGTGTTGTCCCTCCGCAAAGAAAAATGTAGTTCCTTATCCAGCCTTATTCACACTTTAAGTTTAAAGGTATAAGAAATTGTCGTCTGAGAATTGATAAATATCAAACGCTTTAACCCCAGGCTACTTCACAACAATTTTGTATAAACTGTTTTGATAACAAACACTATTCAAATGTGTCGTTAGTGATAACATATTGTTCAGTGAAACTTCGACACGCGTGCATGTAGTTCTGAGCAGCAATTTCATTTTCTTTGAAATTCACGATGGACTCTACTGACTTTGCTAAACAATCCGAAGTTCCAGATTGCCTCGATAATTCTAAGACTGGAAACCAGTCTATAACAGAACTCTTAGGAACTGCATGGAGACGGGTATCTATGAGCGATGACGAAGCATTTAGTGTAAAACGCCGTTTGGTTGCTAAAAACGGCGAACGTAATATCATACAGACTGATATCCACCACCGACGGCATAGTTACCTGACGGACATTTTCGTCACCCTGGTAGACGCACGATGGAGGTTTATACTCCTTATGTTCTTAAGTGGCTTCATATTATCATGGCTGACGTTTGCACTATTGTGGTGGCTTGTTCTTCTCGCTCATAATGACTTTCGTCATCTCGAAGATGAGGACTGGACTCCATGTGTGGACGAGGTGGTTGATTTCCCTACAGCTCTCCTATTTAGTATCGAGACACAGCATACTATTGGCTACGGCACTAGGGCAACTACATCTAAGTGCCCTGAAGCAATAATCCTAATGATGCTCCAATCAGCCGGAGGGACACTCATGACAGCTATTCTCACCGGGATCGTCTTCTCAAAGATTCAGCGTCCAAAGCGCCGTTCTCACACATTGATCTTCAGCAAGAACGCCGTTGTTTGTATGCGTGAAGGTAATTTGTGTTTACTCTTTCGGGTTGGTGATATGAGACGCGAGCATATGATTGGGACACAAATTAGAGCAATAAAAGTGAGGAAAGGTATCACGAAAGAGGGCGAGGTCCTCCCTTTATTCGAACAGGAAGTTGCCTTCCACGTGCCGCCAAATGGCGTCCTTTTCCTTGTGTGGCCCGCCACGGCCTGTCATGTAATTGATAAGAACAGTCCATTCTATAACATGTCCAAGGATGATCTCAAACATGAAAAATTTGAGCTCATTGTCATCATGGAAGGTACCATTGAAGCCACAGGAATGACTGCTCAGGTCCGAACATCGTACCTCCCTTCAGAGATACTTTGGGGACACCGTTTCAGACGCCTTAATATGTATCAAAAAGACACAGGCGAGTGTCAAATAAGATACAACAATTTCCATTCAGCAGTTCCAGTTGAAACGCCCTGTTGTAGTGCAAAGGTGCTTGCTGAACATTCAAATACTGATCCAAATTCGACGATCTATCACTTCGATAACGATGACACAATCCCAACACAGTATGTGTCCGCCCATCTACCCATTCCAAGTTTTAACAGAAGCGTAACTTTCGATGAGCGGGGAAATACAGTTCATGTGGATTGCGGTCCACTTTTTAAAGCAATTGATTCCAATGGCCTTAATAAAGAGAGAAGTGAGGTAATTCTACACATCGATTCAATTGAAACGACCCTTCTACCGAACCCAAGCAATACGACACAAAGTAGCATACAAACTGATCATCGAATCGTCAGTGAGCCTACCCTGCAAGTGAGAGCGGAAGCGAATGAGGATTTTGATGAACCGCGTATCCTAAAAAGGTCAAAGGGCAACAGAGTTTTCACGATCACGAAATGTAAAGATAACATTAATTTACAACAGCCATCAAAGCCGAGGAATGTGAGATCCAACCCAAGTAGAAGGGACGATTGTGAAATTGGCGCCCTTCCAAACACACAACTCTGACGTAAGAAGTACAATAATGCGAAGCTGCTTTGGACGAGTCAATTGACATCGAGAAATATCCGAAAAGCACTGGTTGCACAACTTAATCAAAAGTGGAAAGTACAGATATTTCTGGAAAACCAATAGGTTTGTTGGTTTGCTTGGAAATATCTTATAACTACAAATATTCTAACATACATGGAAAAGTACAATGACTCCAATGGGAAGTGAGGCCAAAAGATATCAGGGGGTCTGAAATGTGAACATTAAATCAATACCCTCTTATCTCACAAGAGCTGAAAAACGTTTCGATATCTGAGCAAACCTGACCTGTCATTATTGACTTCCAATCACGTGACTGCAATCACACGAAGTCCATGCTTTCACCACATGCATGTATTTTATAGAAACTTCCTTCATCAGGGCATCGTTTGTCACGTAGAACACTTTGAGTTTGGCGTCATCGTAACACTAAAGATATTAAAAAATGCTTTTTAAAATAAATTTGAATTTACTCAGCTTTTTAACTTTCTCAGTTCTATTCAAACAATTTCCAGAACTAGCTGAGAGGTATATTTAATCTTTACATAACAACTATGTGAACATTAGGTTAAGGTTCGAGTCCCGCTTGATCCAAATTGCCTTTTCTAGATTGATAAAAGAAAAAGAAAGAATAATACAGAGAAGTAATATTCAATCAAGAATATGGAATGATCCGAACCAATTTTCGTAAAACATCGCCAAAAGAATCAGCAATGGGGGTCAAATAAATCGGCATGTTCCGAATGGGGAAATCGCCGGCATGACATTTACCAAAAATTAATCAATTAGTTGGCATTATAAAGTGGGCTAAATAGTCCAGACTAATCCGAACAAAGTTTCGCAAAACTCTTACATCGTCGAAGTTTAACACTACTTTCCGATATAATCAGTGTTTATACCTCGTCAATCTGTAAATTGATGTAGGTAATAATTCTGGGATTCTGGAATACTTGGTAAATTAAAAACAAGTCCATGGAACCTTCCCTTATGTATTCCCGTTATTTCAATTAAAACTATGCAAACATTTTAGTTTAAATCATCAGGGCATTTGTCATCGGTTTAGTCAATGATACGTCTCTCAGAGAAAGGTTTGGCACAAAACATATCATGTAAGGATTTGCTTTTGAGATTCAGCACTTTCGTTTAAAAATGGGATGTCATCGATCTCAACATAGTTTTAAAATAATTTTATAATAACGTGTAAATAACCACACAAACCTTTTACCTATTTCATCAAATACTAATAATAGTAATAATACAAGTAGTAATTGTAATAATTAAAACAAGGCATTAACATGCAAAATGTCACCACCAGCCATTTGTTACTGACGCCCATTACCGTACGCAGAAAGTTGGAGACTATAACAATATGCGAGCACAAGTGTTGGTGGCATAATTATTGTACATGAATTTAAGAAATATAGACCGAAGAGCAGGGGTAATATTGTCTAATACAACCCACAGGGCTGGGCACAAACGACCGACGAGAGTGAGGGGTTCGCAAGCTTTTGTGCATAGCGTTTAGTACAACGAGAATTTTACAGACTAAAATCGAACACCAGACGACAAACATTTAATAATTCATATCACCAAAGCAGTTTGCTATGCTAATGATAACATTATCTTGAAAACTAGAGTCATGATTTATATTGATTTTAGTAAATGTATTTAGGCAAGGAAAGACTCTACGTCCATGCGATTGGTATACCTGTTGTCAAGTGTCAATTGAACGAGACACGTTATTTTTTTTAGAAGAGACAATCATGAAAACCGAGATAATTTGAAAATTGACAAAGGAGCGAAAATGAGGTGTTTAGCTTTAATCACTTTGGTTGGAATATATTTCACTTACGCAGAAGAGAACAATTGGATGTACATTCAGGAAGGTTTGTTTGTAATATCTATTTGAACCACATATTAACTTTTATCTAACTTTGATTTATTAAAATTACTTTAACATTCATATCGACCGTAAATGACGAAACGTTTGATTTGTCGATATTATGGTCACTATGGTAACTCGATTAGCAGGTTTTATCATGGTATCAAACATTCTATTTTTCAAGATCCAAATGAGGATTGGCTTCCGGACGCAGCTCGATATTCGACCTTGACCTTGATTGATATTGAAAATGTCCTCAAGTGGTTGTTTTCTGACATTACAACTGACTATGAATTCATTGTCAGCGATCAAAAGATTTGTACTAATATTTTGATCACTTCATGTGTGTTTTGAAATTTATTTTGGAAATAAGATCAAAACTCGCGTTTCAAATTCTGAAGTGAAAAAATGGCGATTGAATTTTGTATCACGAAATCCTTCAAGATCGGATCCATTGTTGGAAAATATCGTAATTGCATACTGGGAGCCAATTCCCAATGTCAAAATCCTGAACATTTTAATGTTGCACAGTCACTCTACATATTCCACGGGGGTAAAGCAGACCCGATGATGCAATGAGCTTGCTCGGCGGTATCATGACTGTGTAACGGGGCTTAATGTATAAGTGAGCTCGGCGGTAGGTTCAAACAACGCGGATCCTCAAGGCATGTGCTCGTGGTATCATCGTGCCTTAACACCCGTGTATTTGCTGCAATAAGGAGTGAATTATTCATTTATCATAAGGAAACATGAACGAGTATTTAAATGTTAAACTGTAATAATTATAAAATAAGCAAGATCGAGAGCATATATCGGTAATTGAAATCACATGTTTGCAATGATTACAATCAATATATTGTCATATGAGGTAAGCCTCGATCAAAGGAGTGGTATCGATATGGAGAACTTTTTGAACACACGTTTCTCTTAAACCAGTCATTAAAAAAATCTAAAAATTTAACACATCGTCAATTTAATGGTCATCTTTTGAATGGTAACAATATGATTTGAAAAATATACATATACTTTCATCTATATTGTTTTAGAAAACACATCAAACACTTGTTTCGTTCTTGGTATCATGTTTCCAGAGTGAAATGAAACATCTTTCCGAACCTCATTGGAACAAAACGACATAAACACAACATGTTTAGGTCTCTCAATATTGTAATTGTACGTACAAAGGAAATTTTGCTTGATTTTAAAAAAGTATCTTGTTAATGAAATAAAAGATTTATCTTGATTTTTATTTTAGGGGGATTTTGTTTTAATTTTCTGAATACTTTTTTAAAATCAACCCAAAATTCCTTTGTATAACTATAATATTGATTTGAGAAGTCTAAAAATGTTCCAACGAGGTTCGGAAAGACATTTTATTTCATTCTCAAGAATTGGTAGAAAGGAGCAAAAACAATTGCACTAAAAAACAAAAAATGTTAACAAAACAGTTATATAATATATTTCTAAATAATTTTCGCATTAAATTGTTGTCAATCAGTCAACCTTACATAAAATACCGTATTTTTTACAGAATGTTTTCACTGATTGGTTTAAGAGAAAAACATTGTTGAATTCACTTCTCAATATCGATACCTCTCCTTTGCTCTACGGCGGCCGTAGTTTCACAAAATCGATATGGAAAATCTACATCGTACTGGTAAGCTACATGTACGACCGCCGCACGGTTGCCGAAGATCAAATGTGACTGAGGCATTATACATACGTTTGTGATTGCTAATCTATTACTTTACAGTTTGTCCACGCTCTCTTGGCTATGTAAAGCCACTACCAACAGGACAGGGTGATTGGTTCAATGTGTTACTCAACTTTAAAGCCCCATGCTCTGGTACCGTTGTAGCCTGGGAGTACTACGCCGTGTACAACGATAACCTTTTTGGGTTCTTTAATCTTGCTGTTTTAACACCGATTTCTGGACCAACACTTTCATATACAGTGAAGTCAATCACGAGATTTCCAGAGAGTCCACTAGGCTTCAACGTGTATGTTAGAAACATAACGGTAAGAACATTCGTATTAGGATTAATTATCCCACCGAACTATGTCCGGTAGCGATATAGAGAAGCCACCTGTCCGTCCTTCAGTTCTCGTCGTTCGTGTCCGGTTGGTATCCGTCAAATGTTTTGGTTCAAATTTTATACGCTAATGCCTCAAGGGCATATGACCTCTGCTTATATGATTTGATCAGAATTTTATAGGATAATGGCATATGGGCACGAGAACCCTGTTCAAGAAAGAATTTCCAATGAGGCCACTCGATTAAAATTGGCCGCTCCTTTTTCTTTAAAGGCCCCATGTAAATTTTGAAAATATGTTTTCATCATTTAATAGTTTTCATGTTTTAAAAAGTTGGTTTAGAAATTTTTGAAATTCAAATTTCAAATTTCCCGCCATTTTTCAAATAAAGCTTGACATTTAATCATCAAATATTCCACTATACGATTTTTAACATCAATGCAAAGATTGAACAAGGGGCACACTCTTTCAATAGTAATGTCACATCTTATGTGCCACTTTTAATGGTTTAGAATATTAAAAATCTTTTTGAAGAAATTTCTATGTCAATATTTTCTAAATTTGCTAAACTTGAAAATAACCCAATGTTGATTGTCTAATATCAAAATATTGAAATATTATTGTACCATTGGTTTCCATGAAACTAAAATTTTGAAATGTATTTTTCTCTGAACTATTATCACGCATGGATGAATTCGTTTTTCGCTAATTTATGTTTTCGGCAAAAACATGTGAGGATGAATGCTTAATATGCATTAGTGTGAATTATCGCCGAATTAAAAGATACGAGTAACCTCTAAAAGTTGAATTTCATATGAGGGCTTTAAAATGTAATGTTTGATTTTCTTGTGCTAATGCTTAAATGGACATTGGAAAGTAGGAATTTCAAAAGTGTGTGCTGAATTCAAAACCCAAATACCACTTCTCAGATTTGGTCAGAATTTATGCACCGATGCCTTTTTGACATGAGGGCAGTGTCTGGCCAAGAAATATTGCTGAATTCTAAATGGCCCGCACTTCTCAAGAAAACATGATTTTTTCTTAAAACAAATACACCAGTTATCAGACCTCGTGGCGAAAGACTTTTTTTCAAGAATAGAATCACGTCACTTCATGTGTGTAGATTTTTCCAAAAGGAGACAATACTGCTAATACTTCCTGGTAATTTATGTAATGTAATGTCCAAAATTACTATGGATTTGCTAATCCGAGCTGTTTTTCCAGTTGGCATGGAAATACGGGAACGTAATAATAGCAAAATAGTTGCAATATTACACGTTCACGTTAGACTTAATTAAGTAAGAACGTTTCGCTATATAGCTTCAAGATCTTTTTGTATAATCTCAAAATTGTAAATATATTATCTTATATTGGAAAAAGGACATTTTTAATTGATCCAGATGATGAAAGGGGATGTAATTGGCTTTATGGCCGATTCAGAAACAGTTGGATCTGTTCAAATAGGAATTGGAATAGAAGTGTTAGGGGAACGGCCTACGTACGCTACCGACTTGTACTATGACGTTCAAGCGAAAAATGACACATTTGCTGACACTACATCTGTTGGTG